AAAAAAAAAAAAAAAAGAATGCCATCTATAATGGTGATTCGCTATATACCAACAGACATAAAATACAATTTTTCCTGTTCCCAGTATTATTAAAGTTTAATAAATTTGGTTAATGTGATGTTTCCCTGCGCTCTTCATTATAAATACTGTATACTAATTCTCTTCCTATTAATGTTTCTGGTGGTGGCCTTTGGATTGTGTGAATATCCTTTCCCATCTCCTTTTCACTCAATTATTTTACTATTTATTATTGATCCTTGTCTAATTAAATTTCTACATCTGGGGTGGCAGTATGGTGATTTTTAAAATCCTAATTGTCATTCATTGTGCATTTATTAGCTGGCATTTTTTAAAAAGACGAGCTTCCCCCCGCTTTTTTGGTAACTATTATTGTGAACTCATGGATTTTTTTCTATACTAATGTGCTGGTTTGTTTTTTTTTTTTTTTTCCTTGTTGTTGCTTTGATTTGTTGGCTAATGAGAGCCCTAGCAGTTCTTCATCCTTTTGGGCCCAAGATATTCTGGGCTCTCCTTGAACTTCCCTTGAGCCAAACCTGAAATTAGCTATTTTCCCAAGAAGCCCTGGTTCCTTTTAGTGGGGAATACTATTTAGAAACCAAGATCTGGGTGCTAAGTATCTTTAAAAAGTAAACTTTTTGGAAAGATTTTCTGTCATTTTGATAATATGTTACCATTTATGAGGATTTTCACATTCTTTTATATTTTTAAAGTTTATCATGTCTTTTAAATGATTCATCTGTTGGTCCTTCCTGCAGACAGTGTAGTAAGCAAGTCAAATGCTAAAGTCTTCATTTTACAGTTGAGGAAAATGAGATTCAGTGAGAATTTAATTTTCTCAGAATTATAAGGCTAGTGAGAACAGATGCTGGGACCGAAACCCAAGTTTTTTACTGACTAGTTTAATTTTTCTTTAATTTTTTTCCCCACAGTGCATCGTCTCCTTAAAGTGTGTTTAGATAGCTAATGGAGCTGTGCTGTTAACTCTCGGTCTGTCACTGCCAGCCCTGCTAAAGAGAGAAAGCGTCCTCTGTAAGACTAACTGATAAATGACCAGAGCCTTAGCGAATACTTGCATCCTTCTTAGCATTGCCCTTGGGAGCCCCTTTTGTCATGGAGTTAACCGAGGAGGCTTTCAGCCTTATTTTAAGATGCATGGAATGTTTGATGTCTGACTTTGAGAGTTCTATTTGAAAACAGTACATGGTCATACCTAAACCCTCTGTCTCATGGCAGCCTGTAATTAAATGGGTCATTCCCAGGGAGCCAAAAAGGAAGCAGAGAGCCTAAGCAGTGCATCAGCACATGCTGTGCTTATGCTGTGATTTCATGTTGCCTTCTCGAAGGGTCTGTTTTCTTCATTTTCCTTGTTCTATTTTCATTAAAGTTCAAGCTTTTTCCCACTAACACACCATGGAAACTTTTTATTTTTTTTTTGCCAGTGCGTGTGCTCTCGCAGGAGAACGTAGATGAGAGGGGAAGTGAGAAAGTGCAAGGGGGATGGCAACACCGTAATCCCTTCTTCATTCTTATTTTAGGATTTTGGGCACTCACGCACAAGTACCCAGTGTGATTTTTCAAGCCACCGGGTTTGGAACTTGAACTGCTTTAGGTCATGTAGGAGTGGTTCTCCCATGGAAACTTTTTTTTTTTTTTTAAAGAATTACTTAATATTTCAGAACTGGCAGATGGCATAATGGTTACATCGCTGGAGTCCCATGGAGTCAACCATAGTTCAAGTCTCGGACCCAGCAGCTTAAAACTCATACCAGGGCACCAGCAGTTGGCATACTGGCTATGTCGCTGGACTCCCATGTAACCGACCGCGGTTCAAGTCCCAGACCTGGTAGCTTAAACTCAAGCCAGGCACGTGTGCATGTGTGCCCAAGATCCAGAGAGGAGAATGGAGGAGAAGAGATTGCGGCGTGGCCATCCCCCCTGGGTAGTGATTTCTCGCTTTTTAATCTGTCCCTCTCTGTCTTTCTGGAGAGTGCACATGCCCTGTGGCAAAAACCGTTCCCAAAAAAAACAAAAACTCATGCCAGGCATATGTACGTGCATACCCAAAATCCTGAGAGAAGGGATTGCAGCATGGCAATCTCCCCTGGGGGACGATTTCTCATTTTCTGTCTCTCCAGTGAGCACATGCACCCTATAGCAAAAATCTCTCTTAAAAAAGTTATGGGCAGTTACTGTAATGGTTATGTTGTTGGACTCCCATGTAGTCAACAGTGGTTCAAGTCCTGGACCCGGTGGCTTAAATTCATGCCGGGCGCATGTGCATGCGTGCCCAAGATCCTGAGAGGAGAATGGAGGAGAAGGGATTATGGCGTGGCCATTCCCCTGGGGGGTGATTTCTTGCTTTCTGTCTGTCTGTCTTTCTGGTGAGCGCACGCACCCTATAGCAAAAACCTCTCAAAAAAAAAAAAAAAAAGCTATTTCATTTTACTTATTATTATTTTTTATTTTGAGCAGAGAGAGAAAAAGAAAATGAAAAAGCAAGCCTTCAGGTCTGTGACTCAAACCATGATCAGCCATGTGGGAGTCCAGTGCCTTAAATGCCATACTACCTGCTGACCTCTCCTATGAAAACTTTTAAAAACACTTTTCCCCCACCATAAAATGTTAATGCTTCATATGTGAGGGTGGGGGTCTTCAAAAAGTTTATGGAAAATGCATATTATAAAATAACTATACATAGATTTCACATATTTTTGCAACAAAATAAACTAATACTTTAATTTCACTTTTTCGCAAACTTTTTGAAGTTTCCTTCTATACTATATGTTTATATACCGCATATATTTCTGCATTATACTTAAAGGAATAAGATTGTTGGGGTTTAGCCAGTGTCATGGAGGTTAAGGCAACTGGATCCACATGGCTAACAGTGCAGTTCGAGTTCTGTACCTGGTGGCTTAAAAATCTTGCCAGGTACATGTACCATACATGCCCAAATTCCTGAGAGGAGACTTGAAGAGAAGGAATTGTGGCTTGAAAATCATGCCGTGTGTGTGCATGTCCATCCGTGAAATCCCAAGAGAAGAATGGAGCAGAAGGGATTGCGATGTAACCATCCCCCCTTGGGGGGGTGATTTCTTACTTTCCGTCTCTCTCTCTCTCTTTCTCTCTGTCTCTGGTGGGTACATATGCCCTATAGCAAACTAAAAGAAAAAGAAAGGATTTTTTTTTCATGCCCAAGGATTAATTTTTGCATTCTTGGGATGATATTGTCCTTATTGAAAATGCACAGAGTAGATGGAGAAATGAAGGATAAATCTAATTTTTATCAAATAATCAATTTAGTGTTATAATATATTTTTATAGTAGTGTCTTTCTTGAATAACTAAATGTAATCTATAAAATATTTCAATTCTAATAGCACTGTTAGCTTTTAGTTATCTGACTGAACTCATCCTTCTGTTGCAAAGATAGGAATTTTTCACCCATAGGAAACTTCAGTCTATAATCTTAGCTTGTTTCCCTTCCAAACTATCAAATAATTGGAACTTGTGGTGATTCAAGTTAATTTAATCTTTTCCAGTATTGTTTTTATCTGGAATTCCCTGATGTGTAAAATACTACTTATGCACATATTAGCATTTAAGGAACATGTGTTTTTTTATTTCCCTTTCAAATCCTCCCCCGTGTCAGCCCCAAATGAAGAACTCTTGAGTAGAAATACGTGCTTTTACCCATTACAGACTATCTTGTGTGCTTTGTAGTTTTTTTCCTAAGTATTTCTTTTATGTCTCTTTTTATTCGTGTCTCTCTCTCTCCTCTCTCTGTCCTTTACTTTCTTTCTCTACTACCCCCAATATTTCTCTCATTTCTCTTTTTCTTGTCTCTTATTTTCTCTCTCTCCTACATGTTATCTCCTTTCTTTTCATTCAGGACTACGAGAGTAAATTGCAAGCTTTGCAGAAGCAGGTTGAGACCCGATCCCTAGCTGCAGAAACAACTGAAGAGGAAGAAGAAGAAGAGGAAGAAGGTGAGGTCTAGCAAGTGAAATTTCCTGTGTACCTTTTGGATTTATATTATCTAATTAGTTCTTTATCCGTGATCAGAACTGGATGCCTCATAGGTGCTTCTACCATTTATCAGCATTTTACTGAGTCAGCTTAAAAGATGATTTAGAAGATGCTCAGTGTTGAGAATCCAGGCTGTATGTGTGAGGTTGGAGTAGAGGTCATAGCTCTTAGAACTTTTTAAGGTTCCTGAGCACAGTCTTTGCATAAATCTCCTGGGAAATTTACATAAACTGTCTCATATTTCTGTACATATGAAGTTCATAGGTGTTCAAATAAATGCAGAATTTAGTCTTTTTAAAAATAGTCTGTTTAGGGAACCAGCAGTTAGCGTAATGGCTATGTCGCTGGATTCCCACGTAGTCGACCGCGGTTCGTGTCCCGGACCCGGTGGCTTAAAACTCACGCCGGGCGCGTGTGCGTGCGTGCCCAAGATCCCGAGAGGAGAATGGAGGAGAAGGGATTGCGGCGTGACCATCCCCCCTGGGGGGTGATTTCTCGCTTTCTGTCTCTATGTCTCTCTCTGTCTGTCTGGCGAGTGCACGCGCCCTACAGTGAAAATCTCTCCAAAAAAAAAAAAAATAGTCTGTTTAATTTGCTTGTTTATGTCAGATTTCCCAGAGAGAACTTTGGAGTATATCAGGGTACTTTAAAGCCATTTCTGGCAATTTTTTTTTTTGAGAGGTTTTTGCTATAGGGCGCTTACCCTCCCCAGAAGGGAAGAGAGAGACAGAGAGACAGAAAGCAAGAAGTCACTCCCCAGAGGGGATGGCCATGCCGCAATCCCTTCTCCTCCATTCTCCTCTTGGGATCTTGGGCACGCACGCACACACGCCCAGCATGAGTTTCAGCCACTGGGTCCGGGACTCAAACTACTGTCGACTACGTGAGAGTCCAGCAACATAGCCATTATGCCAACTGCTGGTCCCCATTTCTGGCAAATTTCTAATCATATTGCTTAATCACGCTTACCTATTTTAAGTTTCCAGAAATTCTTAACTGAATTAAGGCTTTCATTGGTAGTTACCGCCTCATTATGTAGCATGAGCGTTCATCTTCATTTCTCCACCCAACCACTCAATCTCAAGGCTCCAAATTAATATTGAAAGAATTCTTAATTTATGTGTTAAATTCTTTATTTTTAAATATCTAAGTGAAATATGACTTTTTATTCCTATCAAAGAGAATAAATACATGAAGTTGTACAATGTACTAGAAGCCAGGAGTATTTTTTTTCTTTTTAATTAGGCTTTAGAATTATATTATTTTAAAAAAAGAGACCTATTTCTTTGACATACTATTTTAAATGAATACTAGATTTTTAGAGGTTTCTTGAAGTGTATGATTACTTTGATAATATGAACAGTACTTAGAAAGCTTTAGTAGAAGGGAGAAAAATGAGCAACAGGATGGAGAAAAACTGGAAAAACCTTACTTGATGAAACAGTCAAGGAACAGGAGGGATGGAATTTCTGTGTAGCTTGAGATCGCCATTAAATATGCTTCATTTGCTCTTTCAGTTCCTTGGACACAGCATGAGTTTGAGTTGGCCCAGTGGGCCTTCCGGAAATGGAAGTCTCACCAGTTTACTTCATTGAGGGACTTACTCTGGGGCAATGCTGTATACCTGAAGGAGGCCAATGCTATCAGCGTGGAATTGAAAAAGAAGGTATGGAGGTGGTAAGAATGCCGACCATCTGTAGTCAAAACTAGAGCCTTCTGTAGATTCATTTGTGCTCTCACCTTAAACTAATGTTTCCTTGAGGGAATTTAGCTGTTTTATGCTATGAAATAGCTTTGTATATGCCTTTATTAGGGCTGGACCCATAGTCTAGTGGTTACAGGAGCTAGATCCCACATGGCTGACTGCAGTTCAAATCCTGGCCCTGGCTACTTGAGGAACACACCAGAAACGTATGTGTATGCTCAAAATTCCAACAGATTGGAGAATGAAAGATTGCAGCAGTCTCCCTCTTTCTCTTTCTTTCTCTCTGTCTCTCTCTAGTGAGTGCACGTGCCTTCTGGCAATTAAAAGAAAAATAATTATATATGCTTTTATTAATTATGTATACCTGGAGTACAGTAAGTACTAGTTTAAATTTTTCTAAATTTTTATTTATTATTTCTTCCATGAAAGAGACAGACAGAAACACCCATAGGGTTTATATCCTCAGCCTCAGCCACATCTGGTATGTGCCCAGATCGTGGGGTACATGCCCAGTGTGTACAAGGAGGTCTTAGAATGCATACCCTGGGACCAGCAGTTAGCGTAATGGCAATGTCGCTGAACTCCCATGTAGTTGACCGCGGTTCGAGCTCCAGACCCAGTGGCTTAAATTCACACTGGGCGCATGTGCATGCGTGCCCAAAATCCCGAGAGGAGAATGGAGGACAAGGGATTGCGGCGTGGCCATCCCCCCCGGGGCGTGATTTCTCGCTTTCTATCTCTCTGTCTCTCTCTGTCTTTCTGGTGAGCGCACGTGCCCTATAGCAAAAACCTTTACAAATAAAATTTTAAAAAAAGAATGCACACCCTGGACCTTTTCCCATGTTGGTCCAGTTGTGTTACTACCTGGTCCCTACAAGTTTATTAAATAAAAAATTGTAAAAGACAGATGTTTCTAGTTTATTTTACTGAATACTTTTAAGAGTAGTAGCTGCGGGCCGGCCAGTGGCATGGTGTTTAAGGCAGCTGGATCCCAGATGGCCAACTGCGTAGTTTGAGTCTTGGGCCTGCAGCTTGAAAAATATGCCAGATGCACATATGTGTGTATGCCCCAAATCCCAAAAGATGGGAGAAATAAATGGAGAAAGGAGTGTAGTGTGACCATTCTCCGTGGGGAGTACCTTCTCACTTTCCTTTTCTCTCTTGCTTCAGCAAGTGCACATGCACGCTGGGGGGAGGGGGGTTTCAAAACTTAAAAAGAATAACAGTTATAATCCTCTGAATTTAAAATGGAAAAATCTTGATGTTTTCATCTTCTCTCATTAGGGAGGGACTAGAAATACATTATTGGGTCTATGTTTTGGTCTCTTCTATGAGTTCCACAAAAGTCTTTTTTTTTTCCCTTTTTTTTTTTTTTTGAGAGGTTTTTGCTATAGGGTGTATGCGCTCACTAGAAAGGCAGAGAGACAGAAAGTAAGAAATCACCCCCAAGGGTGGATGGCCACACCACAGTCTCTTCTCCTCCATTCTCCTCTCAGGATCTTGAGCACACACGCACATGTGCCCAGTGTGAGTTTAAGCCACCAGGTCTGGGAATTAAACCGCGGTTGACTACATAGGAGTCTAGTGACATAGCTATTACGCCAACTACTAGTCCCAGCCACAAAAGTCTTTATTCAGTCAATCAGAGTATATTTATTGGGATTTTATTTTGTGCAAAAACTTTGCCAGGCTAGGAAAGAAAAAGGTCTGTGAATAGTTTAACTTGAAATTAAGGTTATTCCCTGTTGTTAGTATACAGGTGGTGTTTTTTTTTTTGTTTTTTTCTAGTTAGTTACAAGCTGTTTGCTGAGTACGTACTACATGTTTGACCTCTTTCCCATTGGCTGTGATTATGTCATCTCATCCCTGAAGTTTACTTGTTGAAAACCATTTGCTGATGGTTTATTCTTTCCATGCAGGTGCAATTTCAGTTTGTTTTGTTGACTGACACACTGTACTCCCCTCTGCCACCTGAATTACTTCCCACTGAGATGGAAAAAAGTCATGAAGACAGGCCTTTCCCTCGTACAGTGGTGGCGGTAGAAGTCCAGGATCTGAAAAATGGAGCAACGCATTATTGGTCTTTGGACAAACTCAAGTATGAAAATATTCATAAAAGCCCATTGTTTTATTTTGGAAATACAATTGCTCGAGTAAGCTCCCTCAGACTCTTCTCTCTGAGGTGCAGTTGCTTTCTTTACCAGGCTTCCTAAATGCTGTTACTGGCCAATAATAACACCATCATCTGTGTTCTTTTAAGTGAATGAAGCCCACTCCTGAAACACCTGCCACATCTGTAGATATTTAAATTTCTTTTCTATAGACCCTCTTAAATTTTAAACGTTCTAATTCCATGGTATTTATTTCTAACTTAGATCTAGAAATTACTCATTTTTTTCTCTCCTCATGGTGATCAAAAATAAACAGGGGCGTTTTAATCTAGCCTCCATTTACATGTAGTATATGAGATATATCCTGCTGTCTCAGTGTATTTGAGAGATTATGCACTGTTGAATTGTGGGTCATCGGAAGACTCAAGACACATTTTTACAAAGAACATAGAAAAATATGCCATGAGTTTTTCAACGACCCAGTACATTTCTCTTGTGATTGGCATCTAGGCAGAGATTAGATGGCCATTCCTTATTATCTTTGATGACTTATCTATAGACTCAGATACTTTGGAAACTTGAATGTTTTGGTTTTCTATACTTTTAGCCATTATTTTTTTTAGTAACATTAAATGATAAGAGTGGCTTCTAAAAAAAATCTTACATGGAAGATTCTTTTAAAGTGATATGTTAATACACTCTCGTGATACTAATCCCATCCACTTCGTGTTTACTAAATAGGCAGAGGCTGGATTTGATGCGAGAGATGTATGACAGGGCAGGGGAGATGGCCTCCAATGCCCAGGATGAAAGCGAGGCCACCATGACTGGCAGCGATCCGTTCTATGATCGATTCCACTGGTTCAAACTTGTGGGAAGGTATGTGATGATTTGTTGTTAAATAATGAATGTTTTTATTGTAGTTGTCTAAAACATCAGATATTAGAGAAATTTAAAAGAAAAAAAATTATTTAAAAAAGCCCTAACTATAATCATATTCATTCATACACAATCACTATGTCACTTGGTATATTTCCCTTCAGTTTTATTTAATATGCGTATTTGTTTTGAGTCTCAAACTTTTCAACCAAAGTATTTGACAGTTTTTCCTGACTCTCTATTTACTCACAAAATGTTTTACAGTTAATTAAGACAGTTTAAAGAAAAAAAAAAAAACTGTGTCTGTATCTTGCACAGTTTAAAACTGTAGCATGACTTCCCAGACTACCACCTTCCCATGCTCTGATTTGTCCTCACTTTTTAATTGCTTTTTGAAAAAGCAGTTCATTCCACTTTAGCATTGCCAAGGGTGAATTAATTGCACACCTTGTGGTAATCCCCTTAAAAGTCTTTGTGTTTACATTATTTTCAACAATCAATGAAAACAGTGCCTTGAGTTCATACTGAATCAGGTTCTTAGAAGTTTCTAAAGAGATGAGTTGGCTAAACATCATACCCAGGCAGAGCACGTGCTGCTTTAACATACACCATTTCATCCATTTTGTTTTCTGCTCCAAGATGAAGTGAGAATTTGTAAAAAGATATAAAAAGCCTTGTAATTTTACTTTAATACTGAATGGCTCCTTTGAGTCTTAGATACTTATCTTTTGTGCAAACTGCAGAGTACAAACGTTTTGTAGCACGATATTTACCTGAGATAGTTTACTCATGTATTTCCTTTGCTCTTCTTATTCTAAGGATCAGTCCTTGCATAACTTTTTCAACCTGCCTTTTTCCCCTTTCACCTGATCCAGATAATTTATGCTTATTTTATCCTTTTGCTTTTTCATTTGCTTTTATTGTGTTGATTCCCCAGTGGATTCTGTCCTGTTGGCACCTACAGCTTCCTGTTTAACCAACTATTCCTCTCTCCCTGGCTGTGTTAATCGGCATCTTACCTGGTGTCTAGCTCCCCCATTTTCCACGGCTGTGTGAATGAGCGCCTTGCCGACCGCACACCCTCCCCCACTTTTTCCACGGCCGATTCCGACATCACTGAGCTGGCTGACGAACAGCAAGATGAGATGGAGGATTTTGATGATGAGGCATTCGTGGATGACACCGGCTCTGACGCAGGGACGGAGGAGGGATCAGATCTCTTCAGTGACGGGCATGACCCGTTTTACGACCGATCCCCTTGGTTCATTTTAGTGGGAAGGTTGGTGAGGTTATTGTGAGAAAGGCAAAAAGGGACCAGCTCTTGCTCTACAGGCCTCTTTGTGCAATTTTGGATTATCTTGCTTTAGCCCAATTCAATTCTTCCGTGGTCAGTTTCAACTTCTCTGATGCTTCAGGCTCTGTATTAATGCTGATCTGGCTGGAGAGAGACCTCAGGTACTGTTTGTGAGGTGCTCTGTCTACTCAGCACAACATCCAGCAAAATTTGAAGACTCTACATGGAGGGCCCCTTGTCCTAAATTGCCTAGTAGTTTTGTTCTGAAGGAGGAACCCCAAGGAGAGAGTAAAGCTAAGAGTCAGATGTAATGGGTTCAATGAGTAGTTTGTGGTCTAGATGTTTCCTTTTTAAAGGAATGTGATTGAGGAAGCATATGAGGTAACAAGAAAAAGAGAGCATAGCAAGTCCAGCCAAGTCCAAGGTTAGGCAGAAGAAAGTCTGTGGTACTGCAGGAGTCAGAGGACAGAGTGGGCTTAGGAACAGCAGTAGGCGCATCTCTTGTCTACGCTGCCGAGTCCTAAAGAAAATCAGGGAATGATATTTTATCTAAAATGAATGCCTTTTCACTGAGCCTATCTATAGGTCTTGGGCTTGTGCTAAAATTTTACCTATTGCTTTATAAGGATGAGTTTCAGAAAAGAATCTGTCGACACTATCAACAATGAATACTTGTTGAGCGCTACATGAAACTGCTTTTGTGTTGACTTTAGTTCACCAAACTGAGGCATTGTCTCTGGCTCTCCGTTTGTGTATCCATCGGCCAGTGATGCAGAACTCCCCATGCACATGTTCCTAATACTGGTGTCTTTGTCTATATCCAGTCCTCATGCTGAAGTAATTTTAATTATAAGTTCAACAGTGAAGCATTCATTGGATTAACCAAGAAGTATGTCTGGAATCTTAAGTATTAAATTTAACATTAACGGTGCATTAGAATCACATATTATTGAACCCTTTACAAATAAGGGAGTTACGTGTTACATGGATAAGTACCAGTTATCTAAAGATTAAAGTGCAGCAAGTCTCCTGACCCAACAGAAGCATAAGTTTTTTTGTTTGTTTGTTTTTAACTCTTAGCTCATAGTATGGTGTTGGTCACCCAGGGGGAAACTTCATAACTGATACAGAGATTATCACTGTTACTGAAAGAGGGAAAAGCGTTTTGATAAAAATGAAAGCCCCAGTACAACTATAAATTATAATAACAGACAGTCTTTGGGGTTTACAATGGCAAAGGGGCACTTAGAATTAAGTATTTCTGTGAATAAACAGGGATTAGAAATTAGACTTGAGTATTTTTTTATGGGGACATTACCAGGAATAGGTACTTAGAATTTTAGAGAAACTGACTTATCTTAAAGTCAAGAAAGATTTGTACAAATAATAGGACAGTAATGTTTTATTTATTTTGTAGCTGTCTGTGTCCTTCAGCACATTTCAGTCCTGTCCTGAGGGTTAGAAATGAGAACCAAGTTTCCATTTATGAACTTGGTCCAGTACCATTTGCCCAGTTTCTAAAGCTGTTCAGTTGTGTTCTCCACCATTGCACAGTGAGGAGTAGGCACCTTCATCTTTTATGGCTTGGTGGGAAGAACCCAGATCCAATTGTCAGGAGAAGCCTTGGGTCTTTGGCCTTCTCTATCATTACCTTAGGAGAAACAGCTCAAAGTAAGGCTTCTTGGGTTTTTAAGTGTAACCTGAAAAGTTAGAAATAAAAAAGCCTTAGAATTTTTTTTATCTTTCATATTCTGTCTTCCACACTAGCAAAATGGATATCCTAAGGCTTCTGTTCAGAAGCATTTATATTTTTTGTCAGTTGTATGGAAAACTCAAGTCAGAATCCCACTTAACATGGAAATCAACTGACTTAAAAAAATATGTATTATTTTAAATTTTATTCTTTTCATAATCAGATATAAGTCCTCTTATAATCAGAAGTAAATAAGGTATACAGCAATCAACTAATTTGATTTTCACATAAAATATATATGGGAGTATGGCTTAGGAATTGACCTTTCTATTTGTTTGGGTTCCCAGGTTCTAGAACTAACTGTGTCTTACAAGGAGACTAAATGAGGAAGTGAAATAATACCAATTATTAAAGTGAAGTATAGCTCTCCATATTTGCCTTCAACTATTTTTTTCCTTTGCAAATGAAATGTATATAATAGAACATCATCATCCAATTGTGTAGTAGTCATTATATGTAGAAGAGGAGAAACTTCTTTCCTTTCCTGTGATTCACAGGATAGGATTTCCCTTATTGGCACATAATTGCAAATATAATTCATTTGTAAAAATTTCTAGTTTCCTATGAAATTCCATTCATAGGTTTGTTTCTTGGCCACGCTACCGCTGGTGAATCTTTATATGAAAAGTAAAAGAGCTTGTCCCTTTAGCTATTCTCTTATGGCATGTTGGGATGTTATGAACCAGCCATCATAATTTTGTAAAATATTTAAGTTAGTCTTTGGGTTAAAAAGGGGCAAAAGATGGTTATTCTGTGACCTCTCTAAATACCTGAACTGACATTCTTTCTGTATCACCATAATTATACTGATTTTTCTTATCTTTATGTTGACAAGTTTGTTTCCCTTTTTGATGTAACTTCACAGAATTCTCTGCTAATATATCCCTTACATATTCCCATCTCATCCCTGTTCTCCTTCAGTCTGCTAGGTCAAAGTATAAGGACTCATAAAAAACAGAGCAACTTTGAAAATTCCAGTATAAAGAGCTTCAGAGGATAACTTTTAATAGCACTGATTTTGGGCTAAGGACTGTATTCTAATAGCATGACAAGGAGCTGTCTAGAGAGTGTGCATTTGTGTAGTCACAGAGCTCATGCCCCTGTTGCTGCCTTAGAACTAGAGAATTCTCTTTTCTAATAAGAGAACTCTATAATACCTTAAATGCTTTCTTATTTGGAATACTTATTATTATAGGCAGAAAGGAAATTTATATATATCTATATCTATCTATCTATCTATCTATCTATCTATCTATCTATATCTTTTAAGGCTTTTTGCCATAGGTCATGTGTGCTCACCAGAGAAAGAGAGACAGAGGGAAAGTGAAAAATTACCCCCCAGGGGGATGCCACACCACAGTTCTTTCTCCATTCTTCTCTTGGGATTTTGGGCACACATGTCCACATACTTGGCCTGATTTTCAAGTCCCAGGTCTGGAACTTGAACTATAATCAGCCATGTGAGAGTCTAACTCCTTAACTACCATGCCACCTGCTGGCTCAGAAATTTATCTTTAAACACTACTTTATTGTATGTGTATGTAAATAGAAGCTTTCTTTAAAAAGTGACTTTTTTTTTTTTAAGAGAGAGAGAGATTTTCGTTATAGGGCACATGAGCTTGCCAGAGAGGCAGAGACAGACAGACAGAAAGAGAGAAATCACCCCCCAGGGGGATGGGCATGCCTCAGTGTCTTCTCCTCCATTCACCTCTTGGGATTTTGGGCACACAGGCACACACGCCTGGCGTGAGTTTTAAGCCTGTGGTTGAACCATTGTCAACCACATGAGATTACAGTGATGTAACCATTATGCCATCTGCTAGTCCCTCTAATGCTATTTTTTAAGTTTATTCATTTATCTCTTCCATGAGAAAGAGAGGCCGCCCCATAGGATCCTCGTGATGTGATGCTTCTCCAGTCTCAGATGGGCCAGATCACAGATACATGTGTACGCACCCAGCATGTTCAGAGATGCCCAAGGATGTGAACCCAGGGCCTTTTCCTATGGGTTCATTTGTGCTATCAGTGGCTTTTTTGTTTTTATAGGTTTTTGCCATAGGTGCATGTACTTGCCCAAGACAGACAGAGAAAGACAACGAGAAGGACAGTTAGAAATCATCACTTGGGGATGGCCACGCTTCAGTTCCTTCTCCATTATTCTACTGGGATTTTGAGCATGCATGCACATGCTCCTGATATGATTTTCGAGCCACTGGTTCTGAGACTTGAACCATTTGGTCAGGCATGTGGGAGTTTGGTGCCTTAACCACCACTCCACCTGCTGGCTCCATCACTGGCTATTTTTCTTTTAAGGACTATTTTATTTAATTATATTTTATTTATTTATTTTTATTTGACCAGAGAGGGACAGAGTGAGAGAGAGGGAAAGCAAGAAAGCAAGCCACCAGGTCTGGGACTTGAACAGTGGTCAGCCATGTGGGATTCCGGCGCCCTTAACCACCATACCACCTGCTGGCCCCCACCATTGGCTGTTTTTAAGGTAACGAATTAAGTACAAATAGGGATCTAAACGTGTTCTATGTAGTTAATACTCATCATGAGTATGGCTTTGAAAAATATTAACCTAGTATAAAGTTGAATGACTTTACTTTTCTGCCTCTGGTGTAAAGAAAAACAACACAAGAAAATACAAATTATGGCAATGATGAAAGAGTTGTGTGTGTTGCTGAGAGATCTGTTATGATAGAGTGGTTCTTGAAATGAGACCCAAAGATGTAAAAATCAGACATGATGTGGACACTGAGTGCAGAGAGGACTCCAGGTAGCGAATGTCAGTGACTCTTTAATGACTCAGATGAGAAGTCAACAGGTCTGGCTGGGATGCAGTTCAGAGAGGAGTGGTCCAGATAGGTGCTGATCTTGGAAGTGAAACTATCCATTTTGTACCTTGTGCCAAATTCTTAGTCTTCTAAACTCTGTCATGGTAGTTGGTGTAGTCCTTTGATAATTATCTTGTTTGTAACCCTTTTTAGAAGACTTTTTAAATTGGTGTGCAACAAAGCTTTAACCTGGTTCTTAGCATTGCCCCCTCCCACTTTGCAGCAGACTGAAAGGGAAGTAGACATCATTTGATCTGATTTAATGTTCATTTGCAGTTATTTTTGCCATACTTTTCATTCACATTTCATTTACGCTATTAAAATGTTTATTAACATTTATTTTCCTATGTATTTTGTCTGCTTTCAGAATTGTTTTCTTTACTTTGAGTTGAAATTCAAAGGATCAATTCCATCTTTCTTTTCTCTTTATTTTAAAGTAGATTTCAGAGCAGGAAAAGCCACAGACAGGCATGTGTGTCACGTTCAGTTATGTTTGGTTTCTTGATGCAAGTGTTTACTCTATCTTTTGTCTTATGTTCAAAGATGAGCATATACCACGTGGGAAGACAGGAGTAACAGTAGGAACTAGACTCTATTTCCCTTCTCATTGGAATGAATACTCTTAAGCTTTGTGATCATCAGTTTTTATTGCATAAAAATGTCAGTAGCTACAAAATAATGGGGAAAACAGTACATATGTTCATACTACTTTGCTAGCTTATTTGAAATATCAAGTATGCATTTCTTAATTAGATTTTGAACTGCAAAAGCAAACCCTTTAGAGATGAGCTGTCTCCTTCTCCCTTAGCGTTTGTCTTAATGCCCATTCAGCTAGTTTCCTTACTGTAATGGCCAATCAGGAAACTAGGCAAGTGCGGAAATTTCTGACCGCACAATCTTTCTTTTCATATGTGTCTGCCTTCTTCACCTGTCAGTCACTCTGCCTGAAGATAATAGTCCTTTGTTAAGAGTAAAATTAAAGACCTATATCACCGTGATGTGAAATCTATTTTAGAGTTATCGATTGTATTTCATTCAAATTTTCCTGCCTTTTTTGTCTCTTGTTTCTGTTTTATTTGTTGAGAGAAGCAAAATAAAACAAACTCCTTACTTTAATTTAAAAGGTTGATAAGCTCCTTCCTGGGCTCTGTCCCACACCCAACAGTAGTCACAGAGCAGTATCTTAAAAGTCTACTTCCCATTGTTACTCTTCTACCTACGGTAACTTTTTAGAGAGTAACTTGGTATAAGTTGGTCTTGCCAACTGCTTTGCTAAGTAAGCATTTGCATTTATCCACATACCATCTGTGCTAACAAAGCAACAGCAAGTGATCTGAGAGGTAAACCTAGGGGTGTAATCTTAAGGCAAGGCTCAGAAGCCAGCTCTCAGTTTCATGAGTTTTTCTCAGTGAATCTGAATTCCAGGTTCTCTCTCGGTGGGATACACTGATGTTTGTCTCCCGGTTTCTGTCTCTAGGGCATTTGTTTACCTGAGCAACTTGCTGTATCCCGTGCCCCTGATCCACAGGGTGGCCATTGTCAGTGAGAAAGGTGAAGTGCGGGGATTTCTGCGTGTAGCTGTCCAGGCCATTGCAGGTAGGTGACCCTTTTTGGAAAAGGGAACTGGGTTTGTGGCCTAGTGAGAGTGCAGTCCGGTCAGTTCTGGGTGGGCCACACTTCAGTTCCAAACTGTGGTGAGTTTCTCTGTCTTGAAGAAAGCCTTTACTGCTTCCTTTCTAGCTAAATTCTTTATAGTCCAGGAGGCTACTGCCATTTTGGAATAATATGATAAAAGAGATTTCCTTTTACATGAAGTACTCTGGGATTAACTTTATAAAAGTCACTGACGTTTCAAATAATGTTTCTTTGGCTGCTATTTTGTAATGCATGAATCGAGATTCTGATATTTTCTACTTGTCCATGAACCTGCCTGCATTCTGAGGAAAGAATGTGGCCATTTCCTGTAACTTTTCAGTCTTAACTTCCAAATGCTATGCTGTGTTTAGTGACCTTTCAGCCTTCCCCCATGGAAGCCTTGGACACAGTCACCAATGTTGAGTTGATGGGAGTATCCTCCACAAGTGCAGTATAAAATGTTTTCAAATATTCGTTGCAAATTATTGAAAATAATCTCGCCAAGTGGAAGGGGTCAGTGTTTATTCTAGATGTGACATTTGAACAATCTCCAGAATAAAACCAAGTCTTGATTAATTTGTCTAATTTGAGCTAAAGAGATCGGTAAAAATCTACCTGAATAGAGTTAAAGTAGCCCATGTAATTTTACTACTTTGGTAAAAATTCTTTCTTAAGCAGAAAAATTTTCCCGTTTACTTTGCAATCTAATAAGATTCATTCTCCGTCCTTTCATCCTTCCCATATGTAATCTTATTTAGTCCTTGCCGATTTTTTTTTCCCACTTAGCGGATGAAGAAGCTCCTGATTATGGCTCTGGAATTCGGCAATCAGGAACAGCTAAAATATCTTTCGACAACGAGTACTTTAATCAGGTGAGAAACTTTTAGGAAGAAGGAAAATCTGTGGAAATAGGAAGAAATAGATGTGTTTATTTAAAAAAAAAAAAAATTCTGGGACCAGCAGTTAGTGTAATGGTTATGTTACTGAACTCCCATGTAACTGACCTCGGTTTGAGTCTTGCACCCAGTGGCCTAAACTCACACCGGGCGCGTGTGCATGTGTGCCCAAGATCCTGAGAGGAGAATGGAGGAGAAGCGATTGCGGTGTAGCCATCCCCCCTGGAGGGTGATTTCTTGCTTTTTGTCTCTCTGTTTCTCTCTGTCTTTCTGGTGAGCGCACATGCCCTAAAACAAAAACCTCTCCAAAAAAAAAAATTTGGCATTGGAGACCAGTTCTTCTACCTACAACTGAAAAATATAGGATGCCAGTAAATACAGAGCTGTTCAATAGAATATGGACACATGCCTAATAATTGTAAAAATCAAGGGAAAGACCCAGCATTTATATTTGCCTTTTCTCAGACAGCATTTTTTTTTTTTAAGCTTTTTGTTATAGGGCACGTGTGCTCACTGGAGAGGAGAGACAGAGAGAGATTGAGAGAGGGAAAGTGAAAGGCTCCCCCTCTTCCCCCGGGGAAATGGCCATGTCGCAGTCCCTCTCTCTTTGCTCAGGATTTTGGGCACATAGGCTCACATGCCTGACATGATTTTCAAACCATCAGTCCAGGGCTTGAGATGTGGTTGCCCAAGTGGGAGTTCAGTGCTTTAATCATCATGCCGCCTGCTGACCTCTCTCAGCTCTTAAGCCACATAATGTTCCAGTCATTATTATGGTTGGGCAAATAAAAAAAAAGTAAGGAAACTGGGGGGAGATGTGCTTTTGTACAATTTTATTGAATACCTACCCCCTGCCTTTCTTTCAGAGTGACTTCACTTCAGTTGCAATGACTCGTTCTGGTCTCTCCTTGGAGGAGCTGAGGATTGTGGAAGGACAGGGTCAGAGTTCTGAGGTCATCTCACCTCCAGAGGAAATCAATCGAATGAATGACCTAGGTATGTAGACAGAGTTTACTGTGATAGGAACATTTTTCAAGAGGGGAAAATACTGTCCAGGGACATAATTGTGTTCATCACCTGGGACTGGAAAGAATGCTCAACCCTCCTCCTTCCACTATTTGAACCAAATGTGTATTCATTTGATCCTCTCTAGATTTGAAGTCAGGCACTTTGCTGGATGGTAAGATGGTAATGGAAGGGTTTTCTGAAGAAATCGGCCACCACCTGAAACTGGGCAGTGCCTTCACCTTCCGTGTAACGGTGTTGCAGGCCAGCGGGATCCTCCCGGAGTATGCAGACATCTTCTGCCAGTTCAAGTAAGCCACCCCTTGCTGGCCTCCTTCCTGGCTCTGAACCCAGATGGTATCCTTTGTGCATTGTAGAATACTTTACATGTGAGATAGTGATACTCTTTTTTTAAAAAGTAATTATTTATTTTACTGTATTATTATTATTTTAATTTGACCAGAGAGAGACAGAGAGGGAGTGAAAGAGAGGGAAAATAAGAAAGCAAGCTACCAGGTCCAGGACTTGAACTTCAGTTGGCCATGTGGGAGTCCAATACCTTAACCATCATATCATCTGCCAGCTCCCGAGATATTGGTACTCTTTTTTTTTCTTGGAGAGATTTTTGCTACAGGGTGTGTGCACTTGCCAGAAAGATAGAGACAGAGAGACAGAAAGTGAGAAATCATACCCCTGGGGGGATGTCCACGGCTCAATCCCTTCTCCATTCTCCTCTCGGGATCTTGGAGAGGAGATGCACGCACACACACCCAGTGTGAGTTTATGTCACCAGGTCTGGGACTCAAATTGCGGTGGACTACATAGGAGTCCAGCGACATAGCCATTATGCCAACTGCTGGTCCCGATTTTGGTACTCTTGAGAGAGAAAAGATTACCAGTCTCTGAAGGAAAATGCTTTCTCCTCTCAGGATAGCAGTGAGATGCAGAAACCTTACTGGAGTGAGACAGAGCTCCTGTGTGGAGGCTTGCAGCCTTCAGAGGGTTCTGTTGTGAACTGTCCCTTCTGCCAGGAATGGAGGGGATCTGAACCAGATAAGCCATTGCTTAGTTTTTTAGTGCGTTTCATGCTAAAGTGTCATATTTTCTTTAAAAAGAATTATTTAATTTAATTTATTGGAGACCAGTTCTTCTACCTACAACTGAAAAATATAGGATGCCAGTAAATACAGAGCTGTTCAATAGAATATGGACACATGCCTAATAATTGTAAAAATCAAGGGAAAGACCCAGCATTTATATTTGCCTTTTCTCAGACAGCATTTTTTTTTTTTAAGCTTTTTGTTATAGGGCACGTGTGCTCACTGGAGAGGAGAGACAGAGAGAGATTGAGAGAGGGAAAGTGAAAGGCTCCCCCTCTTCCCCCGGGGAAATGGCCATGTCGCAGTCCCTCTCTCTTTGCTCAGGATTTTGGGCACATAGGCTCACATGCCTGACATGATTTTCAAACCATCAGTCCAGGGCTTGAGATGTGGTTGCCCAAGTGGGAGTTCAGTGCTTTAATCATCATGCCGCCTGCTGACCTCTCTCAGCTCTTAAGCCACATAATGTTCCAGTCATTATTATGGTTGGGCAAATAAAAAAAAAGTAAGGAAACTGGGGGGAGATGTGCTTTTGTACAATTTTATTGAATACCTACCCCCTGCCTTTCTTTCAGAGTGACTTCACTTCAGTTGCAATGACTCGTTCTGGTCTCTCCTTGGAGGAGCTGAGGATTGTGGAAGGACAGGGTCAGAGTTCTGAGGTCATCTCACCTCCAGAGGAAATCAATCGAATGAATGACCTAGGTATGTAGACAGAGTTTACTGTGATAGGAACATTTTTCAAGAGGGGAAAATACTGTCCAGGGACATAATTGTGTTCATCACCTGGGACTGGAAAGAATGCTCAACCCTCCTCCTTCCACTATTTGAACCAAATGTGTATTCATTTGATCCTCTCTAGATTTGAAGTCAGGCACTTTGCTGGATGGTAAGATGGTAATGGAAGGGTTTTCTGAAGAAATCGGCCACCACCTGAAACTGGGCAGTGCCTTCACCTTCCGTGTAACGGTGTTGCAGGCCAGCGGGATCCTCCCGGAGTATGCAGACATCTTCTGCCAGTTCAAGTAAGCCACCCCTTGCTGGCCTCCTTCCTGGCTCTGAACCCAGATGGTATCCTTTGTGCATTGTAGAATACTTTACATGTGAGATAGTGATACTCTTTTTTTAAAAAGTAATTATTTATTTTACTGTATTATTATTATTTTAATTTGACCAGAGAGAGACAGAGAGGGAGTGAAAGAGAGGGAAAATAAGAAAGCAAGCTACCAGGTCCAGGACTTGAACTTCAGTTGGCCATGTGGGAGTCCAATACCTTAACCATCATATCATCTGCCAGCTCCCGAGATATTGGTACTCTTTTTTTTTCTTGGAGAAGTTTTTGCTATATGGTGCATACGCTCTCCAGAAAGAGAGAGACAGAGAGACAGAAAGTGAGAAATCATACCCCTGGGGGGATGTCCACGGCTCAATCCCTTCTCCATTCTCCTCTCGGGATCTTGGAGAGGAGATGCACGCACACACACCCAGTGTGAGTTTATGTCACCAGGTCTGGGACTCAAATTGCGGTGGACTACATAGGAGTCCAGCGACATAGCCATTATGCCAACTGCTGGTCCCGATTTTGGTACTCTTGAGAGAGAAAAGATTACCAGTCTCTGAAGGAAAATGCTTTCTCCTCTCAGGATAGCAGTGAGATGCAGAAACCTTACTGGAGTGAGACAGAGCTCCTGTGTGGAGGCTTGCAGCCTTCAGAGGGTTCTGTTGTGAACTGTCCCTTCTGCCAGGAATGGAGGGGATCTGAACCAGATAAGCCATTGCTTAGTTTTTTAGTGCGTTTCATGCTAAAGTGTCATATTTTCTTTAAAAAGAATTATTTAATTTAATTTAATTTATTTATTTATTTTAATCTGACTAGAGAGGGACAGAGTGAGAGAGCAAGAGAAAGAGAGAGGGAAAATAGAAAGCAAACCACCAGGTCTAGGACTCGAACCTTGGTCGGCTCTGTGGAAGTCCAGTGCCCTTAACCACCACGCCACCTGTCAGTCACTAAAGTGTCATATTAATGAACACATCTGAAAGCAGTGAATTATCTAGCCATGAGTTATGCCTATCTAATACTTGAGAAAAGGAAAATGGAAATAACATACCCTGTACTCTAGGTGCTTTCTTTAAAGCCTCCCTGTGATAAAAGTTGTTTGCAAATCTCAAGTTTTAATACCTCCGAATATGAATATATCTTTTCGGTACTTGGAAAGGGCTGTAGTAGAAAATAGTCTGATCCACTCCACACCTAAAGCCCACAGTTTGCCGCTACTGCCCCCAAAAGGCCGCTTTAGAGTTCTGCCCTCCCTCTCCCCTCAGTAAGTGCCTGGGCTTCCTTCCTGTGGCAGTTTATAAAGCACCACTTTTACACAGGTTTTAGCCAAGTCCTGAATTAAATATGAATAGTACATAGTGAGCTACTAACATCATTTCCTGTATCCCATAGTTGTTGAAATGTTACCCATCCAGTATTGATTTCATCTATTTGATTTTTTAAATGATTTTATTTTACTTTACTTATTTTTTATTTCACTTTGACCAGAGAGAGAGAGAGAAAGAGAGAGAGAGGGAAAATGAGAAAGCAATCTGCCAGATTTGGGACTCGAACTGAGGTCGGCCATGTGGGAGGCCAGCGTCCTTAACCACCACACCACTTGCCGGCCCCCTATTCGATTTGTTTTTGCTAACAGAATCAAATTTACAGTAAGATGGAATTGGCTGGGTAAGTCTGGTTTTTTGAACTTTTGCTGTTATTCTAATCAGGCAAGTGATACATATTAGGGAAAAGATCTATTTGGTTAACTGATGTCTAAAATGACAGTAACTATGTTGACCTTTGTCCTGAAATGTTCTAAAAAGAGAGCAGTATCTCCACCTGGTGTTAGTTCTAGGGAAAGGAAGTTGACTCATGTTAAAAGAAGCCTCAAAGCCTTCCTTGGTTTTTATAAACTCTCATCTGGCACATGTAGGTAAATACAGGTGTAGATAAAGTGAATGAGTTCGTGTGTTACCAGTGGAACCCCAGGATGTTTGTACCTCCTAAAAATGGCAGAGTATTGGGGAGGGTAGTTCACGGTTAACTAATGCCTGTGTGAGTGCCACTGGCAGGTGCATTGTATGATCAGGATAAGAAAAAAATGAGGGGAAAAGTAAGATGTAAGAGAAGAAATAGCATCCATGTAGTACAGAAAGCTGTGTCAGCCACACATGGTACCCACGATTTGGAGCACTTGGCAATGGCACACCACTAATTTGAAAGACAGGGAATTCCTACTGCTAATAATCTCTCTCCCTCCTAGTTAAAATAAATAAATAAATAAATAAATTCCCCATTTCTTGCAGATGGTGGGAGGGATATCCTTCCCATGGTATTTCTCTCTGGCAGTAAATCTTTGTGTTGGGTATTTTCTAGTTCTCCACTTGTTTTTATTTCAGACTACTAACGGGAAGGGAGAGAGAACAACAAAATCTCACTACTTCTGAGACAAAGTAAACATAGTTCAATTGCACAAATATTTCCAGAGTATCTTTTTCGTATTGAGCCTTGTTGGAAAACTCTTTCTGTCTCTTGGGGAGACCAGATGTAAATATGTTGTTATATGGAGTGAGGAAAACCAGGTCCCTAGTGCTGTGGAAACGAAACTGTCAGGCTGAGTCAGACAAATGTTCTGGAGGAAATGACACTTGAATCCACTCTTCGCTGGGTACTAGAGACTCTAGGCAAGTCTGCCCTCCAGAGGCTTTAGCACTACCTATAGAAGCTTGAGTCTGCCCGATGTCTGCATAAAATGATTTAATTATTTTTATTTTCAGTAAAAAAATACAAAGGAACAGGAGTCCATTGAACTCAATTCACTCTTTAGGGTGTTCTTGCATATACACCCACATGGCTAAGTGACCAGGGCTAGTTCATTTGTTAGTTGTTTTTTAAATAAAACCTAAAATGCTGGGACCAGCAGTTAGTGTAATGGTTATGTCACTGGACTCCCACATAGTCAACCACGGTTCGAGTCCCGGACCTGGTGGCTTAAACTCACGCTGAGCGCGTGTACGTGCGTGCCCAAGATCCCAAGAGGAGAATGGAGGAGAAGGGATTGCGGCGTGGCCATCCCCCTGGGGGGTGATTTCTCGCTTTCCGTCTCTCTGTCTCTCTCTGTCTCTCTCTGTCTTTCTGGCCAACGCACGCACCCTATCGCAAAAAAAAAAAAAAAAAAACTAAACTAAAATGCTGTCTGTGTGTGTCAAAAATGCTCTTGACAAGGAAATGTTAGTAATGTAGCTCAGAGAAAGACTGCTGAAGTAGGACCCTCTTTCCACAGGGTCCAAGTTAGACTCCCACAGATCCTTATGAAACTATTTAATGTAATATTCATGTGTCTGATTTCTTTTAAGCTTTTTACATCGCCATGATGAAGCGTTTTCCACCGAACCCCTCAAAAACAATGGCAGAGGAAGTCCCCTGGGCTTTTATCACGTACAGAACGTAAGTGACAGGGATGTTTTTGCCAGCCGTAGTGGGTTTGTGGTACTGTGGCTTTCTCAGCCCAGGAAGATGACGTGAGGCGTGAGCTGCTTGCGGTGCTAGGGGGAGCTTTGTGTGGAGAACAGACAATAGAGGGAGTGGCCAGAGCAATGAGGTGACCCTCAGTGGAGAGCAGCAGGCTTCTTATCTTCAACTACAATGGGCCCAGTGAGGGCGTGTGGCCTGGTCAGCCAATAAGATCTTTCACTGGTTGGAATGTAGTGAGTTGTTTTAGTGTTTCTGACCTGGAAAAATAAGCGTTGTTTAATATGAGTTTGCTAAAGTTGATGTATTGTCCTTTGAACCTTAAGGTACTTGTATTATTTGGTTGCGCATAGTGTAGAAAATATTAAATAACTTCTGAGGCTAAATTAAGATTTAATGGTGCATTTTCTTGCAGCTGGATAGTGTAATTATCCATTACTGCCCCTTACAGCTGTCCTTATTCATGGAGTTAGAAAACAGACCTGGCATCTCTTACATGAAATTTCACTCTAACTGTCCAAAGTCATTATCTATATCACCATAGCTAATGTTCATTCTGGTTTTTTCTTTCTTTTTCTTTTTTTAAAGCAGAGGACACATGAGTTCACGGGAGAGAGACAAAGAGAGAAAAAGTGAGAAAGCATACCTCCATGAGGGATAGCCACACTGTAGCTCCTTCTCCATTTCAGCTTTTGGGATTTGGGGCACACGCACACATGCCTGGCATGTTTTTCAAGCCACTAAGTCTGGGACTACAAGTACACAGTTGCCCATGTAGGATCCAGCTTTCACCACCATGCCACCAGCTGGCCTGAGAGTTTATTTTTTTGCCACTGTTCTATGTGGGGGTGGGGGTTTTGTGTCTTTTTTTTTTTTTTTTGGAGAGGTTCTTGCTATAGGGTGTGTGTGCTCACAGACAGACAGAAAGAGAGAAATCACTCCTGGGTGGATGGCCAGGCCGCAATCCCTTCTCCTCCATTCTCCTCTTGGGATCTTGGGCATGCACGTACACATGCCCGGTGTGAGTTTTAAGCCACCAGGTCTGGGACGCGAACCGTGGTCTACTACATGGAAGTTCAGCAACATAGCCATTACGCTAACTGCTGGTGTCCCGGGTTTTGGTGTCTTTTAATCCTTACCTTTATACCATAGATTGTAATCCCTATGTTGCAGTTAAGATAACTGGGGCACAGAGCAATTAAAGTCACTCAGCAAGTTTACAAAGCTAGGAAGAAGCAGAAATAAGATTTGAATCCAGAGAGGCTATGGCACTAGCCACTACATAAAGCTGTCTCTAACTCCCTTGCTAACCATGTCCACAGTACAAAGAAAAGAGGCCTAGCCTAGGTGGCACGATCTATAGTGCACTGGACTGTAGTGCCGGAAGCCACGTGGCCACATGGCTGACTGCAGGTTTGGATCTTCAGGCTGGCCTGAAAACGTCATGCGTGGGTATCCAAGAACCTGAAAAGCTGGAGGACTGGGGAAAGGGCCAGACCCTGTCAACAGTGCTTTGTCTCACATACATGTGCACATGCTCACTACCATTAAAAAAAAAAAGAAGAAAGGACAATTCTGAAAGTGGACCATGCGAACAAAAATAGACTTTTTTCGGGAACCAGCAGTTAGCATAATGGCTATGTCGCTGGAGTCCCACGTAGTCGACCGCAGTTCGCGTCCCGGATCTGGTGGCTTAAAACTCACACTGGACACGTGTGCGTGCATGCCCAAGATCCCGAGAGGAGAATGGAGGAGAAGGGATTGCAGCGTGACCATCCCCTCAGGGGGTGATTTCTCGCTTTCTGTCTCTATGTCTCTCTCTGTCTGTCTGGCGAGCGCACGCACCCTATAGCGAAAAAAACCTCTCCAAAAAAAAAATATATAGACTTTTTTCTTTCCTTTATGAGAAGGAGAAAGAGAATGGAAGGAACAGAGATAGAGAGAGGTTTATGTGTTTAAGATAAGATCCTCCTCCCCAGGCTTCCCAGTTAGCTGCAATCACAGGCACACGTAATTGTACCAGTGTGTTCAGGTTGGCCCGTGAACCAGACCAGGGTCTCCCATGCAGCTTCTGGCCTCCCTAGTGGTGGCTCTATTTATGTGCCTCTGTTTCTGGGCCATATTTTCCTTTTTATGTTTATATAAATTTGAGAATTCATATATCCATAAATACCAATTGACTGCTGTACCCAGGACTGTGCTTGACACTTCTGGGGAATACTGGTAGATCACAGATGTCCCCAGGAAGCTTGGAGTTAGGTAGGGCAAGTAAAACACATGCATAAATAACAGTAGAACAGGATAGTCATGAGAAAAGTGTTCATTAAAGGAGTGGGAATGGAGAGAGAGAAAGTTGTTTCCATTGATAGATTTTTTAAAAAATTCTTTAATTAAATATGTCTTGTTTATTTATTTTAATTTGACCATGAGTGAGAGAGAAAGGGAAAGTGAGAAAGCAGGTTCCCAGGTCTGGGACCTGAACCATGGTCAGCCATGTGGGAATCCAGTGCCCCAACCACACCACCACCTGCTGACCCCATGATAAGAAAGATATTTTAAGTAACTTTCTTTCTGGGGTAATTAAGTGGAGAAAGAGGTGGGGAACTTTCCGAAGGATGTAAGGTAAGAAAAGGTGTGTCAGACTGAGCATCAGTCCACAGTCAAAACGTTTTTCTTATTGTCGTTGCTATTTTATCTGGGCCTGGAAATGTAGGAATGGTTTCGATAAATGGAGATAGGTAAGAGCCTTCCAGGCAGGGCTGTAGCCTGGGCCAGTCTTTGACACAGCTGAAGAAAGAGCAGGCAAAAGAAGCAGCAGGTGAGTTTAAATCAGGACAATAATGGGCGAGGATGAAGGTGGGGGGAGTCAAGGTTCACAGGGGCCAATTGTGGAGGGTCTTGAATGTTTAAAGGGTGATAAAGTTGCTTTAGAGTGAAAACCAGAGGGGCACTTTTGTTTAGGAGACAGGCATAGTAAAATACCCAGCACATACTTGACACCAGCAGCAGTTCTAAAGAGCTCACTGAAGCCAACGTGTGCTTTCTTAGAATAAATCTTTTCTTAATCTTGTTTGGTTTTTTCCTTTATTAGATTGCAGTGGAGGTTACGGAATCATTTGTGGAATATATCAAAACCAAGCCTATTGTATTTGAAGTCTTTGGGCATTATCAGCAGCACCCACTTCATCTGCAAGGACAGGAGCTTAACAGGTTTGGATCAGATGAGAAAAGATTTTTGTGACTGTTTTGTGTTTTAGTTCCTCAGTTTCTGGAAAGGAATAAATATTTTGAGGGATTAAGATAAGTAACAGTTTCATGTATTACCCTATGTTTCCTTTTTAGAAACTTCACCACCTTTTTCTTTTTCTTTTTCTTTTTTTTTTTTTAAAGGGATACTTTTTTTGTTGTAGGGCTCATGTGCTCACCAGAAAGAGACAGGTAGAAAGTGAGAAATCACCCCCAGGGGAGATGGTCACACTGCAATCCCTTCTCCTCCACTCTCCCCTCGGGATTTAAAATTTGAGCCACTGGATCCGGGACTTGAACTGTATTTGACTATGTGAGAGTCCAGCAACGTAACCATTACGCCATCTGCTGATCCCTTCGCTACCTTTTTCTATCCACCTAATTACTGATTTTAGTCAGAGCAAATTGAATTTTGTCCATGTGACCTAGAATGCCATCTTTTTTTAGGAAGAAACTTTGAATACGATAGAAAGTTGAGGTGATAGGGATATAATGGAAAATGATATGTAATTGTTCCACAACCTTATGAAGTGGAAGCTCTAAGTAAAATCATCAAAATTGATTGAGAGAGCAGCAATAGACTTTTGGATGACGGTAGCATGTCAAGTATTGATGGAAGAATTTCTTTCTTCATTTGCTAGAGGGTGCATGTGCTTGGCAGAGAGTGAGAGAGAAAGGGAGAAAGCATCCCCCAAAGGCAATGGCCACACTGCAACCTTTTCCCCTTACCTCTTCATCCCATTGGGATTTGGGGCACACATTTACAAGTGCTAGCATATTTTTCAAGCCACCAGGGCTCAGGCTCAAATGACAGGATCAGCGTGTGGGATCCAGCTGCCTTAACCACCAGGCCACAGAACCAGCCTCAGAAGAATTTTCTTATTTCATTTAATAGCTGAGATTTACATGGGGATTTTTATTCAACTGTTTCAGCCTGTTTCACTATGTGGGATTATGTCTGGTATCTGGTGTTATGTCAGAGTTGAAAATTCAGAAGATCTGTTTCCTTAAAAGGAGTTTAAACATGACAGTAATATCAACATCCAACTCTTTTTAATCTTGATAATGTTGTCTCCTTTTCTTTGCAGTCCACCTCAGCCATCTCGACGATTTTTCCCCCCACCCATGCCACTCTCCAAGCCAGGTGAGCACAAATTCCATTCTTTGCATGCTGTTCTCCTGTGAATACATCTCTTACTCTGAAAGACTTCAGATAAAATCATGTTCCCATTCCTATTCCTCTTCTTTGTATCCTTATGTATTCCTGCTCTTGTTATATGTGTCTAGCAGGAACTAGAATTCTTTGTTCCTGATTTAAAATAAGAAGAAACAAGAGTGCTCTATCTCTGCCAGGCCTAGGCAATGGGTTTATTGCAGACTTTAATCACCCTGTTTCTAAGTCTCTCAGCTTTGTATGTAACTCCCCTTAACTGTCAGGTGACAGGGCATTTCTTTGCATTTTAAATTTATTCTGCATATTTGATGATCTTGTTTTGATTTTTCTTTTATTTTTGTCCCTTTTCCCTCATTGCCCACTTGCCAAATTCCCACCCCACCCTGTGCTTATTCTTTACCCTCTGTACTCCTCATCTTCATCTGCCTTCAGATCATGAGAGAAAGATTGAGCTGATTCGGTTTCTCATGTCTGGCTATGTGAATGTGCATGTGCTGGACACCTTTTCTGAGCACGCCAATGTGCTTGCATCCTCTGCTGTTGCCACCTTCCAGAACGAGGCTGACCCATTGCCGCCTTTTCTCTTTCTGCCAGTTCCCAGCTGCCAGAGCGAGAGGGTACCCAAACGAGATGGTTAGTAGCTAAATTAGCTCTGCCTTAGATGTAGACAACTTCAGGGGCTTGTCCAGAAGTCTGGCTCTCTGTGTATGAAACGCCAGTGTTTCATGAGCTAATGTAGAGTTCGGCACTTTGTCTGGGTCATACCATGTTGCCTTCAAAGAGATTTTAGGAAGCACCATTTCTACTTGTACCTCTTTTACATCACCCAGGGACAAAGGGCTTTGTTTTTTGTTTTGTTTTGTTTGTTTGTTTGTTTGTTTTGAGAAGTTTTTGCTATAGGGTGCATGTACTCGCCAGAAAGACAGAAACAGACAGAAAGCGAGAAATCACCCCCCTGGGGGGCTGGCCATGCCCTTCTCCTCCATTCTCCTCTCAGGATTTTGAGCATGCACGCACACACGCCCAGTGTGAGTTTAAGCTACCGTATCCAGGACTCGAACCACGGTCGACTACATAGGAGTCCAGCGACATAGCCATTATGCCAACTGTTGTTCCTGGCAAAGGGCTTTTTACATTTGGTTTTTTGGAGTCTTTGTAATAGTGTTTTTAATTCTGAGGATTTTTACTAGTAGTTGGGTTTTGTTTTGTTTTGTTTTAAAAAAAAACAACTTCTAGTTTTGCTTTCATTCAAATAGATGACTGCCAGAATCAGTGACCCTGTTTTCTTCCTGCCTGGCATCACGGGCTCATGTGAAATTCAGCTAGGGTGAATACTGTTGATAGGCAGCACATTTGAATAGTGCTATTAGATTCTTTTTTTATATATATATAGAGGCTTTTTGCCATAGGATAAGAGCACTCACCAGAGAGAGAGACAGACAGACAGAGACAGTGTGAGAAATCATCCCCTAGGAGGGATGGCCATGCCACAGTCCCTTCTCCTCCTTTTTCCTCCTGGGATCCACCCATGCCAATCCTTCGGGCATATTTTTAAAGCCACTGGGTCTGAAACTTGAACCGCAGTCAGCCATGTGAGAGTCCAGCAATGTAATCACTATGCCATTTGCTAGCCTTTGATTTTTTTTTTTAGAGAGAGAGATTTTTGCTATAGGGTATATGAACTCACTAGAGAGACAGAGACAGAAAGTGAGAAATCACCACCCCCTCCCCATTCTGGGGTAATGGCCATGCCACAATTCCTTCTCCTCCAGTCTCCTCTTGAGATCTTGGGCACAGATCCACATACACCTGGAGTGAGTCTTAGGTCGGGCCGGTCTGAGACTCGAACCACAGTTGACTATGTGGGAGTCCAGCAGCATAACCATTACGCCATCTACTGGTCCCTGGCCCCTGATTCCTAAAGCCCCTTTATATACACTATGTTAGTGAATCTGCACAAAACCTTTTCAGGTAGCAGGCTAAATGCTAATATTGTAGAGTGGCACCAAATGAACGACCACCAAAGCCAGATTAAGTTTAAAGGGAGTCTTTATTAGCTGGCCAGTGACTACAGTCAGGCTTGGGCGTTGTGTACCGAGAGTCAAAACGGTAGCCCCAACTGAAGTCTGAGTAGTCTTTTTATAGGGGATCAGTTACCAGGGGTTTCTGTGCAAGCAGTTGCAGAAGCTGAATCAAGCAGGTTAATTATTTCTGAGGAGAGTGGGATTTCCTTGCAAGCAGTTACATTGCTAAACAAAAGGGCTTGGGGCTATTTAGCAAAGACAGTAGCAGGTACAGGATGTCGTCCTGGATATGGTTTTCTATATGGCTAGCACAAGCTATTTTTTCATGGGAAGAGCAAGCAGGTTTACAGAAGCAGACAGCCATGTTAGGGTAAGGGAACAAAATGGACAAACCATTGTTCATGTGCAAGATTAATATGTGGCCTTCCACACTATCATCTGTATCTTGTAAATGAGACAGACTTACGGAGGTTAAGGACTTAACTAAAGTCACAAAACATCAATACAGTTAAGAAATGGAATTTATGGGGCATCAGGTGGCATGGTGCTTAGGGTGCTGGACACCCACGTGGTTGACCATGGTTTGAGTTCCAGACCTGGCGGCTTACTTTCTCTCTCTGTCTCTGTCTCTGAGTTCACATATCTTATAGCAAAATAAATAAATAACAAATTAAAAAAAAAAGAAATAGAATTTAAACTGGGCATAGTGGTGCATGCATATAGTAAAGAAAAGGAATTTAAACTGAGCACGGTGGTGCATGCATATAGTTTCAGCTACTTTGAGGGAGTCTGGCAAGCGGATCACGAGTATAAGGCCAGCCTAGGCAATATAGTGAGACTCTGTCTCTTTTTGAAAAATAAAAAATTCAAGATTTAAATTTGAAGAGAATTTGCTTTTGTTTTAAATTATTTTATTCAATTTCATTTATTCATTTATTTTCATTTGACCAGAGAGACACACACACACACACACACAGAGAGAGAGAGAGAGAGAGAGAGAGAGAGAGAGAGGAAAGTGAGAAAGCAAGCCACCAGGTCGGGGACTCGAACCATGGTCGGCCATGTGAGAGTGTCCAGCGCCTTTAACTACCATGCCACTTGCCAGTCCCCTAAATCTGAAGAGAATTTGTAACATAAGATCCTTTATAGAATCCTATATTTCCAAATCAGACCAGTGATTTTGAGATTTGTGTGCACATTGGAATCACCTGGGGAACTTGATCCCCTCCAGGAAGGACTGTATTACTCCTAGAGATTATGATTTAATTGATCCGAGGTGTGGCCTGAACTTTGCTGTGTTTAAGATCTCCAGGTGACTTCTGTGCACGGTGCAGGAACAGCTGTGGAGGATGGGGCTTTACGTCACTGCACTAGCTGTGCTGGGTGCCTGTGATGTGCAGGGCTCTGCTAAGGCACTTTCCCAACATTGTCTCTCTCACACTAGTATAATGCTCCCCATACCACAGTGATGAGATTCTAGAATGGGAAAATTCTAGATTTTTAATGGTTTGTGGGGCATATTTATTCTGCACAAAACCTGATTTCTCATCTTAAGAGACAGTTTGTTAAGAGGATAACATATTGTGACTCTTCATTTTCCTGTTCTCACCTTTAGAGGTGCTAATGTAGTTGACGTTGATGTTTCTCTGGGTCTTCTGCATTGAAATCTACCCCTTGACTCTTGCTGCCTTTTGAGAAAATATGTCTTTGAAGACTGACATTAGAGAAGCTTATACTTCTGTTCAGTGGACTTAGACCAGATTTTGACATTTTCTAAAAACTCTTTAAAGTTCCAGCCACCAAGTTAAACACCATGAGCAAGACCAGCCTTGGCCAGAGCATGAGCAAATATGACCTTCTGGTTTGGTTTGAGATCAGTGAACTGGAGCCTACTGGAGAGTAAGTTCAACTTTCTAAAACTTTTTTTTTTTTTTTTCTTTTCCGTATTTAGATTTTTGCTATCGGGTGCATGGGCTTGCCGGGGGTGGGAGGGTGAGAAATCACCCCCAGGGGGATAGCCATGCTGCAATCCCTTCTCCATTCTTCTCTCAGGATTTTGGGCATGCATGCACACTCACCCTGTGTATTTTTCAAGCTTTCAAGTCTAAAACACAGTGTTAACCATGTGGGATCCAGCACCTTAACCACCATGCCACCTGCTGGCCCCAACTTTCTAATATTTAAGGCAAAATTTTCATATTTGAGTTTATGAATCATTGTTACTATCATATTCTAGCTTTAAATTGTGTTTTGTGGTCCTTGGTAGTTTTCTTTGAATCAGATGTTTGTCAGACAACTGACTATCTGGTGTAGAAGTTTGCTATGAATAGCAAGACCATGGAGGCTGGCACTTTGTTTTGAGGAGAGACCACCTACATAGTGGGTTTATCAGTACCAGAGCAAAAGGGGCATATTGCATAGAATGTGGTCAGGATCTACATGACTAATCTCAATGAAGGGACTGGGGTTTCTTGACCTTGTTGCTATTTGGGGCCAGATAATTCTCTGTTGCGGGGGCTCTCCTGTGCATTGTAGGATATTTTGACAAGATGTCAGTAGCATCTCCCTCCAGTTGTGATAATAATGTCTCCCACTATTGCCAAAAGCCCCCCCCCTGGGGGGGGCAAAGTCAACTCCAGTTGAGAGCCACAGTCCTAGGTCAAAATCATGAACATCAGCGTTCTTTCCGTGTGCTTTGTAAGAGTAAGTGATGTATGTCATTCTTGGGTTTGTTTTGGGGTTTTTCTTTTTCTTTTTTATTTTTTAGGTTTCTGTCATAGGGTGTGTATGTTCACTGAAGAGTGACAGACAGAGGGAAAGTGAGAAATCACCCCCCGCTCAGGGGGGATGGCCATGCTGCAGTCTCCTCTCCGTCATTCTCCTCTTGGGATTTTGGGCACACACACATTGCACCTGGCGTGATTTTCAGCCTTTCGGGTCCAGGACTCAAACTGCAGTTGGCATGTGGGAGTCCAGCACCTTAACCACTTTGCCACCTGTATACCCCATGTCATTATTGTTTATAATTACCTCTAAAGTACTTTTAGAAATATACAAATAAGAGACCCTATTCTTAAAACAGGCAAGGAGCTATACCAGTTAATGTAAAGGGCACGGGGTTATCCTAATGTGGTGTATGCTGATAATCACAATAAAAATTACCACCATGAAGCATTTATTAAGTTTCTATGTGTAGGATGGAGCATTCAGTTTGGTTCTATCAATTCTTTATAAAGTTGTCAGTAATGATGTTGCTTTGAGGAATTTTACTTTCCATAGATGTATAATGCAATTATAGCTTACATTAAGAGGGAGAGTTATGATAATGGTTTCTACTAGAATTCATTGCTTTGTGAAGCTAAAAATAGGCACTATTTAGAATCTGAAATTATCATGTTTTATCTCCTGTCAATTACAATTGCAGTTATGCATTATTTGTTGAATACTTACTATGCAAAAGACTGAGAAGATACCAAATGTTCCTGTCCTTGAGTGCTTCAGTCTAGTAAACCAATGAGACTTAGATTTGTGGAAAGGGTTAGTAAATGCAAATGACCGTGATTAAATGCAGAATAGGTGTGAAAGACATAAAATCAGAGTTTATAAAAACATGGACTACCGAAGACTATAGGTTCCAGGGAGGTCCTTTCAGATGAAATAGCGCTCACTTCTTTTGTATTTTTTTCTAGGTATATCCCAGCTGTGGTTGACCATACAGCAGGCTTGCCCTGCCAGGGGACATTTTTGCTTCATCAGGTACTAATGAAGGAGCAAAATGGGGCCTGGGAGCAAATACCAAGTAAAATAAAAATGTAAATTTCTTTTTCTTTGCTTTTCATCTCTATTTTAAAGGTAGGGAGTTGGGGAAAGAACATTGTCCTATCATCATGTCCTTTTTTTCTTTTACTTGCATGTTTATTTTTCAATGTTTCTTCCTCATACCTTGGCTACTGCACATGCATATATGTGTATGTGTGTGCATATGTATACGTATATGTGTACACACGTGGTGCATACTGTGTACATATACACATATCTATGTATGTGCACAGGTGTGTATATACACACACATACACACACCTGTGCACATACATATACATACACTCACACATGCCCTTTAAAATTTTTATTTTTTTAATTTGCTACAGAGCATGTACATTCACCAGAGGGAGACAGAGGAGGGGGTAAAGTGAGAAAACATCCCATTTTGGACATGCACACATGTGCATCGGGTGTGTTTTTTGAGCTGTCAGATACGATATTTACACTGTACAGTCAACCGTGTAGGATCCATCCACCTTAACCACTGTGACACCAGCTGGTCCCATATTCTTCTTTTGTATATAAATAATTTTAGAGTAGCTGTTTCTAAAAAGATTTTTATTTCACTCAGTTACTATCATTTATGTAACTCCATGTCTTTGTTTTGATTTTATTTTTTGCTATAGGGTCGTGTGTTCACTGGGAAGACAGAGAGAGAAAATGAGAAATCACACCTGGGAGGAGGGATAGCCACCCTGCAATCCCTTATCCTCTATCTCTCCTTTTGGAATTTTGGGCATGTGTGCCAAACACAGTGTGTTTTTTAAGCCACTGGATCTGAGATTCAAACTGTGGAGTCTGCCATGGGAGATCCAGTTGTCTTAATCATCATGCCACCAGCTTGTCCCTATGTAATTTTATATACTTCATTTCATGATATTTGGAAGCTCTGTACTTTCACAGCCCACAGTTTTTATTTTATTTTATTTTATTTTATTTTATTTTTGCTTTTTTTTTTTTGGAGAGGTTTCCGCTATAGGGTACGTGCACTCGCCAGACAGACAGACAGAGACGGAGAGACAGAAAGCGAGAAATCACCCTCTAGGGGGGATGGTCACACCGCAATCCCTTCTCCTCCATTCTCCTCTCGGGATCTTGGGCACGTACGCACACGCGCCCGATGTGAGTTTTAAGCCACTGGGTCCGGGACGTGAACTGCAGTCGACTATGTGGGAGTCCAGCTACATAGCCATTATGCTAACTGCTGGTCCTTTTTTGCTTTTGTTTTTTGAGAGATTTTTGCTATAGGGTGCATGCACTCGCCAGAGACAGAAAACAAGAAATCACACCACCACCACCCCCAGGGGGAAGACCACAGCACAGTCCCTTCTCCTCCATTCCTCTTGGTTTTTTGGGCATGCACACACACACATACCCAGTGTGGAGTTTCAAGCCACTGGATCCAGAACTCAAACCATGGTTGGCTATGTGGGAGTCCAGCGCCTTAACCACCACGCTACCTGTTGACCCCAGTCAAAAGTTCTTAATAAGGGTAGAAGGTAAAGGTTTCAGTGAACTAAAAATCTCTTTATATGGGGCCAGCAGGTGGCATGGTGGTTAAGGTGCCAGACTCCCATTTGGCTGACATGGTTTGAGTCCTGGACCTGGCAGCTTGAAACTCATACCAGACTCATGTGCATATGTGCCCAAAATCCTGATAGGAAAATGAAGGAGAAGGGATTGCAGAGTGGCCATCCTCTTTGATGGGGTGATTTGTCGTTTTCCCTCTCTCTGTCTCTGGAGAGTGTGCTCACTCTATAGCAAAAAACTAAAAGAGAGCTCATGACCCAAATGGATTTAGGAGCTGAGGGTTTCATATTCTGAAATATACAATCAGGACCTTTTTTTTTTAGTTTATTTATTTCTTTAATTTCTTTAGACACACACACATGTATACACGTGCACGTATACACCTCCAACAGGAACTTATCTCTAATCCATCACCAGTCTCAGCCAGCCAAGAGCACGCACCCAATGTGTATAGAGAGACCTCAAGATGTGAACCTGGGACCTTGTGTGGCACAGGTGTTGTGTTATTGCTGTGCCACTGTATCTGGCCTGGGCATTTCTTCTTTTTTTTTTTTTGGAGAGGTTTTTGCTATAGGGCACATGCACTTGCCAGAGAGACAGAGAGAGACAGAGAGACAGAAAGTGAGAAATCCACCCCCCCAGGGGGGATGGCCACGCCACAATCCCTTCTCCTCCATTCTCCTCTCGGGATCTTGGGCATGTACGCACACGCGCCCAGCGTGAGTTTTAAGCCCCCGGGTCCGGGACACAAACTGCAGTCGACTCCGTGGGAGTCCAGCAACATAGCCATTACGCTAACTGTTGGTCCCGGGATTTATTCTTAAAACCATATTAAGTCCTGACTATTCCTCAGCCCCTGACCTATTACCCTGTGCCTAGAATACCAATGTGGTTAATATCCCCCACCCCCCGTACCTCTCTTTCCTACCCATCCCCACACTTCTAGACAATCTAGAAAATAAACAACAGGAAGTAATAGATCGCCCTAGCTGAACTGCACCCCTTGTTCCTCACCTAGGGCATCCAGCGAAGGATCACAGTGACCATTATCCATGAGAAGGGGAGTGAGCTCCACTGGAAGGACGTCCGGGAACTGGTGGTAGGTGAGTTACGTTCCATCCCTGAGGACAGAGTCGAGCTTTTTAGCGAGGTCATTATTCTCTGTTTGGAGGGCAGGAAATGTGTGGAAGGCTGTGTTGGAGAATAGGCCATGAGGAATGCAGAAGCCTTGCATATGATGCTAGGATCCACACTCAGAGTCAACTACTGTAGTCCTGCTTCTCAGCTGTTGCTGTTAGCCATACGTTACCCAGCCAACCATTATGTCACTCAGTTGCCAAGGGTGTGACGGGTATAGTTCTGTGCTAGAGGGCATAGAGCCCATCTCTGCTCACTGTGAGCCTGCAGTTTAAGTGGGGAGACAACACATACATGTGCAAAACAGTTGGATGAATACAAGTACCAAGATAAGCAAAAGGGGAAAAGAACTGTACGAAGAGGGTTGACAGTGAAAATGATCCAGGGAGACTGGAGTAGCTTTGTGGGAAAGGATCTGAGTGGACTTAAGAGAAGTGTTTGTTTGTTTTATTTTGTTGCTTTCCAGACACAAACATTTTGTGTAAGAGAATCAGGTGTATCTAACATGCAGATGGCTAGAAACTGAGAGTCAGAGTGCAGAAATGCAGCACAGGCATCCTGGCTGAAGACAGTGAGCTTCAGAATAGCAGTCAAAGCTGGGCTTTGGAGCCTTTTGCTGCCGTGGGCCTCTTTGGTGGTGGGGAAGCCTCACGCTTATGTTCTTCAATGTAAAAATAAAGTATTAGGTCATCAGGAAAGTCGTGACAGTGTTTTTCTATGCAAAAATGTGTCATGATTTTCCTGACAACCCAATACTTAGGATTCAAAAAGAAACTAATGATATTCAAATACATTTGTTATAATATTGAACAAATTGGCAATATAAGCTCTTCTATATAGATGTGTTAACTATTAAGATCTAGCAGTGGATCTTATTATACTTTCAAAGTGGCGATGAATGAAAGAGAGTTGATGTTAGTATGATATGAAAACATCTGTGTTTTTTAACTAGGAACCAAATCACAGGTACTGCTGATTCTCCTGTGGTTTTCCTGTCTTCCTCCATAATTGAAGGAAATGCCAAATTTCAGTTAAAGGTTCTTGAAAATAAAGATGTAATTGTCTCTGTGGAACAGATTGAAAACCCACAGAAAGGTGAAATTGTACTCTCTCCTGTGTGGGAAAATTGATTTCTAAGCTTTTTCAAAATTAATTTTTATATGGAACACTAATATACAAAACCAAAGAGATGTTTTCTAACCAGAAAGGGTAAGGGAGGATACAGAGGCAGCATGTACTAAGGCCTCCTCTGTAGAATCCTATGATTTATTTGTTTATTTTATTTAATAAGCTGTTATATACTGCTTTCTACAAGCCAGGTGTTTTTTAAAATGCTCGAAAAATATAAATCCATTTCATTTTCATAGCAATCATAGAAGGGAGACATTGTTATTCTCACTTCACAGAAGAGGAGACTGGGGCTCAGAGAGGCTGTGCATTATGCCCAAAGCCTCACAGCTAGTAAGAGCTAGAGCCAAGATTTGAAGCCAGGCAGTCCAGCTCTTAACCTCTGTACAGTGCTGCATTACTCTGAAAACAGAGCTGTGGGGTTTTGAGCAAGAAGGCAGTCTAGTCAAGTCATTGGCATAAGATGTCCTGTGAGGTAAGTGTGCGGTGGACTGGAACAGGAAAGCTGAGCATCAGGGAGACAGTGAAATGGCTGTTGTAGGTTCCAGGTTGGAGGGGAAGGTAGTCTCTGTGAATGAGGCAGTGAAATTGGAAAGAAGGGTTGGGATAAGTATGAGAAGCTCTGTGAACAAAGAGTAAAATTTCGTGATTGACTAAATATGGGAAGTAAAAGGGAGGCCTGCTGGGGAGAAAGAAGGGTGCTGTGGGTAACCAAATATGCTGCCACTATCAGAAAGGATTACTCTTCCAGTACTTAAGGATTTTTAGCTTAATGTATGTTTTGTTTTTCAGTGTGCCCATGTTCTAGTTTCCTTATTCTTCCTTTTAGGCCGGATTAGGAGTAAACCTGAGGTGGATGAAGCTGCAGTTGATGCCATCCTCTCCCTAAATATTATTTCTGCCAAGTACCTGAAGTCTTCCCACAATTCTAGCAGGTGGGGAACCCTAAGGACTCCATGATAACAACACTATGATAAGGAAAAATCAGAAAAAGACAATTCAACATGCCACCCAAGGGTTTGAAAGTAAAAATTAATTCTTGCTCAGACTGAAGTTTTTCTGTGAAATGGTTGCTGTGGAGAAAGGTTCTCCCTCCTAAGCATCATGGACAGGTGCCCACTAAGGTGTAATGAAACCTCCTGTGTTTAGTCTTTGCTGCTGTTAGAATAGACTCAGTTATTCTCAGTATTTGCTTTTCATGTTCATTTATATGTGTAAAGGTGATAAATTAATATTAGATCTTATGACCAAGATTGGCTGCTAAAATAAAATCATAGATTTTAATTGTATTATTATTTTCGAATAGCTTCTCTCAAAATTCCCAACGTAATCAGGTAATGATAGACAAGGGCTTAAAACCTGTAGCCATTCTACTTTCCCATGGAACTAAACCTCTCACCTCCCCGGGAAAGGCGCTCTGTCCTTGCTGTGTCAAGAGGGCTGGGAAACGGGAATGACTGTTCTGTTGTGGGCCGAGAACACTGCCTTCACTTTACATGTGTCTGTGTTTTTCTGCTCCTGAAAATCTTGCTTTCATCTATGCTGGGAAGAGAAAGGGGGAAAAATAAGATAATAGGACAGAAACAGGATAAAAAATTAGGGCCAGGATGAATTTTTTAGTTGGTTGGTTGTTTAGAGTTTTATATAAGAGAGAGAAAGGAACAAACTTCTGTTTGCCTTTTTGCATGTGAGAGAAGTTGGCAGGGGCAGTAAGAGGGAGAGAAAGGGGTGAGTGTATCTAAGGAGGGGGGATGGCAGGGACAAAGAGGTGTGCATTGACCATCCCTGGGCAAAGTCACCGACAGTTCGATTTGTTTGGAGTCAGGAGCAACCCCGCTTCACTTTCTCTCGTATAACCATTGTTGAACTGGCATTCCACACTATGTTTTCTTTGCACCTATAAGAAATACATCTTCACTTTCCCTAGGGTTCTTAGCAAAATATACAAGGAAAGACGGTGTTTGGTTGAATGTTGTTTATATAAAGTGTACCTGCTATAGAGTAACCTTGAGAACCCCTGTGATTCATGCCCAACAGCTGGTCTGATGCTGTTGGAAATTAATTTGGTTTCATAGAAGCAACTTATTCTGTGTAATAGAAGCTTAGAATTAATCAAAAAAGTTAGCTGAAGTCAAGAATAATAAAGAGATTTACAGTATAAACAATTTTGTTTTCATTTCAGCTATATACGTGTACATTATATCAAGCTCTTGTTGTAGGATCAAGGCCTTTTCTTTTAGGATCAGTTACCGGAATTCTTATTTTCATTTTATAAAAACATACCCTTAATTTATCATCTATGATTTATTGGAGCAACACCTAGAAATGTATAAAGAAAATCTAAGTCCAGGGGCCAGCAGGTTGTGTGGTGATTAAGAGTGCTGGACTCCCACATGGCTGACAACAGTTCAAGTCCCAGACCTGATGGCTTGCTTCCTTATTTTTCCTTTTTCCCTTTCTCTCTCTCTCTCTCTCTGTTCTTCTCTGGTCAAGTTAAAATTAAATGAATAAATAAATAAATAAAATTCTTTAAAAAATTTTAAAAAAGAAAATCTAAGTTCAAAATTCTATAAACCTTTTATTAATTACATCATTTTACCCTTTTACATTTATCTGATACAAAATTTTTTAAAGATTTATTTATTTAATTTTATTTATTCTTTCACTTATTTTAATTTGACCCGAGACAGACAGAGAGAGAGAAAGGGAGAATGTAAGCCACCAGGTCTGAGACTCAAACCGTGGTCGGCCATGTGGGAGGGTCCAGCACCTTAGCCACCACGCCACCTGCTGGTCCCCTCTCATACAGAATTTAACAGGTATTTTTAAACAACTCATCATTATCAAATGTTTTGAAAACCTTTAACTTACGGGGCCAGCAGGTGGCATGGTGGTTAAAGGCACTGGATTCCCACATGGTTGACCTCGGTTCGATTCCCAGACCTGGTGGCTTGCTTCCTCACTTCCCCCATGCCCTCCATCTCTCTCTCTCTCTCTCTCTCTGTTCAAATTTAAAAAATAATAACAAATGGAATTGAATAAATAATTCTTTTGGGGAAAAAACCTTCAAATTAGTTTCTTTTTTGTTTTTTAAGAGGTTTTTTCCTTAGGGTGTGTGCACTTGCTAGAAGGAGAAAAAGATTGAGAGGGAAAGTGAAAAATCACCCCTCAGGGGGGATGGCCACACCACAGTCCCTCCACCTTCGTTCCCCTCTCAGGATCTTGGGCACACATGCACATGTGCCCTACCTGATTTTCAAGCCACGAGGTCTAGGACCAGAACCATAGTTGGCCCTTTGGGAGTCCAGAGATGTAACTGCTATGCCATCTGCTGGCCCCAAATTTAATTTCTTTTTTAGTAATCTTTTTGTTTGTTTATAAGCCAGAGGTCACAGTGCTCACCTGAGAGAGAGAGAGAGAGAAAGAGAGAGAGAGAAAGCATCCTCCCAGTAAGGTATGGTCATGCCACAATCCTTTCTCCCTTTCTCTATGCTGTCAATTCAGGGCACGCAGAATCCCATGTGTACTCAATCAGGGTGTTTTTCAAGCTACCAGGACCAGAATTTGAACCGCACAGTCAGCCACGTGGGATCTGTCTCCCTTAACTACTAGGCCATAGGATCAGCCCTCAACTTAGTCTTGACAGAAATTCTTTTGCCTTCGTATTTCAATGATTAGCCTAATATCTAGTTAAGTTAAATAATTATAATAGTACACTAACAGGTTTGGGACCAGATACTGCTAACACTTGATAAGTGTATAACTCAACTATTTTGAGCAAAATATCTGGACATTTGAGACATCCCTAGTTTAGACCGTTCAGTGAGAAATGGACATCGGTCTAAATTTTAGGGATGTGGAGTACATAGGTTAATGTGGCTAAGTTACTAAATGAAATTGGGTTAAGAGTGCTCTTGTTCTATTTGTCTAAGCCTTAATGTTTGGAGTTGAACTTACAGTATCATGTGTGTCTCCTAGAGGGGCTTTCTAATACGTTGATAGTGGAGTATAGCTGACAAGAACTGTTACTCCTTTTTTTCCCAGCCCTATATTTACATGAACTAATTGACTAACTCCACAGCAGCTTCCCACCATTCCCAATACCAAGTCACCACTGCAAGGGATACTAACAGAGATGGTCTCCACGTTCCCCTGCATGCCCAGTGTTCTCACCTGAAAGTCTCAGGAGAGGGACCCGCATCACTGTGCGCCCTCTGTCAGATTGCGTCCCAAGAGGTTCTGTGTTTGTTAATTGTCCACTTGTATTCACCTTGCTTATCAACAAATTTGTCTTTTTTATATATTTTTTCTTTTCTGTTTTCCTTTCTCTTTCCGTTCTTATTTATTTATTTTGCTGCACTAACAAAAGCTTTTTCTATGTTTTTGCAGGCTCTTTCTTGATAAGGATATTCCTAGGTATTTTCTGTTTGCTTTTTTGCACATAAAGATTTTAGTTTATCAGAACGCTTTGTGTCTTATGTCGCTTTGATTGCTAATTTAATTTAATTTTTCCCCATGTAAACCTAAGCCATGTCTAAGATAGAGCGAGACCTTACTCTGCACCCTAAGGCACTTCTTTGTGCTCTGGATTTTTCTGATGTGTGTAAAATTTTGCATAACGCTGCTTAAGTGATTTTTAGACTTCTGAATTATTTTCTCATTCCATTTACTAAGCTTGTCCATTTTATTCTTACACCCCTTCAAGTTTTCCTCTTCTATATTATATAGTAGAATGTTTCTCCCTTTGTTTCATATGGAATCTCGGGCTCTATTTCTGTCTTTCCCTTTGTCCTTCTGTGTCAAAAGTTTGAAAGGTTTGTTGCTCTGTAGCCTTTTTTATAAAACATTCACTTTCATCTTCGTTTTGTCCTGTGAAGCTATTTTGAGTAGCTAAGTGTATGAGAGATATTTTGTGAGTGTGCGTGTGTGTGTGTGTGTGCTTTTTGTTTGTTTTCTTTTAAGGTTTTTGCCGCAGGGTGTATGTGTTCATTGGAAAGGAGAGAGACAGTGAGAGAGAAAGTGAGAAACTGTCTCTCCCCCCAAGGGGAATGGCCACACTGCAATTCCTTCTCCTTCTGGGATTTTGGGCACACACACATGTGCACCTAGTGTGATTTTCAAGCCACCAGGTCCAGGACTCGAACCATGGTTGACCATGTAGGAGTCCAGCACCTTAACCCCTACGTCACCTGTGTGTTTATATATTAAACTGGTCTCCATTCAGTTTACTTCTCAGATCTCATGAGCTCAGGGAGGGTCTATCAGGGTAACTGTAATGTAAGAAGTTGTTTTTTTTTTTTTGAGAGATTTTCACTGTAGGGCGCGTGCGCTCGCCAGACAGACAGAGAGAGACATAGAGACAGAAAGCGAGAAATCACCCCCCAGGGGGGATGGTCACGCCACAATCCCTTCTCCTCCATTCTCCTCTCGGGATCTTGGGCACGCACGCACACGCGCCCGGTGTGAGTTTTAAGCCACCAGGTCCGGGACGCGAACTGCGGTCGACTACGTGGGAGTCCAGCGACATAGCCATTACGCTAACTGCTGGTTCCCAGAAGTTGGTTTTTAGTGTTCACAATTCATAAATTTCAGGGACTAGCTCCTTCAAAGTTGCCATCTTGAAGCCTGTTTTTCTTCTGATTCTGCTGCTTTTCAGAACATTCAAATGAATGTCTCGAGACATTCATTTGAAACCATTTTCCAGCCACTTTAGGAGCCACACAGGACAACCTATCTGTGAATTCAGCCCTGTTTCTATCCCTCTTGTCAGCTTGATTTAATTGACATTTCTCACCAATCTTGGTGGGTTTTTTGTTGTTGTTGTTCTTTTTTTTTTTTGAGAGGTTTTTGCTATAGGGCATGTGCACTCGCCAGAAAGACAGAGACAGACAGAGAGACAGAAAGCGAGAAATCACCTCCCAGGGGGGATGGCCATGCCACAATTCCTTCTCCTCCATTCTCCTCTCGGGATCTTGGGCACGCACGTACACGCGCCCGGTGTGAGTTTTAAGCCACCAGGTCCGGGACGTGAACTGCGGTCGACTACGTGGGAGTCCAGCAACATAGCCATTATGCTAACTGCTGGTCCCTTTTGGTGGTATTTTTTAGAGTCACCTCTCAAGGATTGCCACCCTTAGTGGGAATTTCAACAGAATGTTTTATAGCAATTTCAAAGCAAAAGAAAAAAAAAAAGAAACTTTATTTTCCAAATGTGGGAAGGTGTTTAGTGGAGTCAGATTTCCTTTATGTTAGCCACATTTATGCCAGTGGAATTTTCTCGTTAGGTTAAGTGGATACTTAACCTGCAAACAGACATGTGAAAGGGCTTTCTGACAGAAGCTCACAGCATTCGCCTCCACCGAGAGTTGTGAAACCTCAGTAGTGACCTGGAGGTGCCAAGTTATGGTTGGGAACTCAGTCACTAATTACAGGCAGTGCGAGGAATTTTTGTCAGTATCACTGAAGTCATAAGTGCCTTCACTTTAAGAAAGGAGTCTATTGGGAACCAGCAGTTAGCCTAAGGGCTATGTTGCTGGACTCCCACGTAGTCGACCGTGGTTCGCATCCCGGACCCGGTGGCTTAAAACTCACGCCGGGCACGTGTGCGTGCGTGCCCAAGATCCCGAGAGGAGAATGGAGGAGAAGGGATTGCGGCGTGACCATCCCCCCTGGGGGGTGATTTCTTGCTTTCTGTCTCTATGTCTCTCTCTGTCTGTCTGGCGAGTGTACGCGCCCTATAGCAAAAACCTCTCCCCCAAAAAAGGAAAGGAGTCTATTCATTGTAGCACTGTATATCCAGGCCCCTGCAGTGAGACAGGGAGGCCCCATTCCATATTCTTGCACTAAAGCTGCCGACACAGTAAAAGAGCAGCTCTCTGAGCGAGAGTTCTCAGATGCCTACTGCTGAAGCAGAATATTAGAATTTGTCTTCTACCAAATTAAAAGTGAAGATTTTATATAATCAGAGATCTTTGGATACATGGGAGGGTTTTCTGCTAACCCCGGGGAGCCCAGGTGTCATGGAAAGGCTCCCATCATTCATCATTTCTGTTGCTGTCTGGCTCACTTGGTGGCTTCATCTTTGTCTTGGTTAATTGTCTCTGTTCCTTCCCTGTCTTTGTGGAAAATTTTCTTGACCCACATCCAATAACTCCAAAGCTAGACGTTTGAGAGAGTGTCAAGTACTTGAAGAAGGCCTAGATCTTGAAGCAGCTACAAAGGGAGTTGATGAGACCTCACACACTGGTCCTTGGAAGATAAGGTGTGGTCAAGGAGTCCACTTTCAGAAAAGGTTGTTCCTCCATTGATCATTTCTGGAGGAAGCAGCAGCATGGGATTGTGTCTAGAGAGAGGACGTGCCAGGAAATCCAGAAAGGGCAGCAATAATGAAGCGACTGTTTGAGAAGGGGTAAGGAGAAAAGGATGAGGCAGGGAACAGTGTGTATCAATACTTTTTAGGTGAATAGGTGAGCCGTGTTCTCTCTGAAGAAGCTCATAGTGATGGGGTAGGTCAAAGCATAGGCCCTGAGAAGGGAGGAATGGGGTGGAGTTCAGAGTTAGTTATCTGTAACACAGCTGTGAACTCAGCACAGTACTTCAGATGACACTGATGAACTGGAAGGTTTCATGTCAGTTAAGGTCCATGGGATTTTACCAAAAGAAAAAACAGTTATTAGAAAAACTAAAAAATAGTTTGTAGGTATCAAATGAAGCTCCTGGTTGTTATTTAAATGTAAGATTGGTTTTCAAGTGGCTTTTTTCGAAAACTGCAAATGGTAGTTGGCTGGCTCTGGTGTTAAAGAAAAATCGTTCTCTTTTACCGAAACAGCCTTGAACAATAACCTCTTGTGTTTTTACTTAAAGCAAGACTCTATACTTAAATTCCTCTACCTGATTCTGTCATTAATTCTTCCAGATATCTTGGTGATGTTTCTGAGGCTCAACCGAACTGGATTGTATCACGTTTACACCTTTTGTAATATGGAGACTGAAGCTTACACAGTTCTGTTTACACAGTTCTGTCAGCATTGACTGACAGGATGGCTTACTTAGGCTTGCTTGCTTTCGCTCTCTGTCCATACTCATTCTTTTCATCTTAATCCCTTTGACTGATCTCATTATTTTTATGTTCATAGGGCAGGCTTGGTAGAGAACAATTATAATAAGGAGTACATCCAAGTGCTCCTTAACTATGGGTGGTGGCAAGAGGATAGAGACCTACTTTTTCCTTCTAAGAGTTAAGGGTTTCCTTCTGTTACTAGATGATCTTGGTAAAGGCAAGTGTTGGTGTTGGTGTCTTTAGGATTACTGATAGTGACAGTGTCTGGACTAAAGTCACTGCAGCTTCTCTTGGTTGAGTCTCTCTTGCCTTCCTGACCTTAGGACCTTCTACCGTTTTGAGGCTGTATGGGACAGCTCTCTACATAACTCCCTCCTTCTGAACCGAGTGACGCCCTATGGAGAGAAGATCTACATGACCCTGTCAGCCTACTTGGAGGTAAGGAGGCTCAGAACTTCAGTGGATGCAAAGAGCCAGCCCTGAACAGTGGGTGGCTTTCAGGAAGAAATGACTGGCAAAGATCCAGCTTGTTTTGTTCGCCTTTCTTTCTCCATATCCTAAGTTATTTATAAGCTAAGTTTGTAAATTCCAGTGACTCAATTGCTATTTGCTGACTGTTTTGATTGTATTAGATCCTGTTTCTGGGCTCTAGTTAGTCAATAAAACTCAGATGGCATAATTATACTTTAGTCTTTGTAGTCTAATCACCATTATTTAAAACGTGTGGGGTGCCCGGCAAGTGGCATAGTAGTTAAAGATGCTAGATTCCCACATGGCTGATTGTGGTTCGAATCCCAGACCTGGTGGCTTGCTTTCTCTTTCTCTCTCTGATCACATTTTTAAAAATAATAATAATAACAAATAGAATTAAGTAAAAAATTAAGTAAATCAAAAAAAGTGTGTAGGAGCCAGCAGGTGGCATGGTGGTAAAGGCACTGGACCTCCCTCATGACTAACTGCAGTTCTAGTCCTGGACCCTGCACACTGGGCACATGTGCATGTGTGCCCAAAATCCTGAGAGGAGAATAGAGAGAAGGGATTGTGACATGGTCACCCCCTACCCCCAGAGGATGATTTCTCACTTTCTTTCTCTCCCTCTGTCTCTGTCCAGCGAACACATGTACCCTATGGCAAAAACCTATAAAAAATAAATAAATTTAAAAAACTGTGATTTTTAAGAAAACATCACCCCCTTTTTTTTGTAGTCGTAGACTGAGCCTCATAGTGGTTAATAGCCCAGACCCTGGACCCAGCCTGAGTTCAAATTGCTGTGCTATCATTTACTGCTTGTATGTCCTTGGACAAATTCTCAGTTTCTTCATCTATTAAGGAAACATTTATCTCAGAGAAAAATGAGTACATCTATGAGGAGTACTACCTAATCTTGCACGCATTGTCTGTTGAGGTTGCTGTGGAAATAACTGATGGAGCTGAAGTTCTTTTTTTCCCTACCTGGAAAACTAGCTTTCCTTTTTTCGCTGTAAAATTAGCTTTCCTTTTTTTTTTTCTTCCTTCCAGTTTGCTATAGGGCATGTGCGCTTGGTGGGAAGAGAGAGAGAGAAAGTGAGAAATCACTTCCTAGGGGGATGGTCGTGCTGCAATCCCTACTGTCCATACTTCTTTCAGGATCTTGGGCATGCATGCACATGCACCCAGTGTGATTTGCAAACCGCTGGGTCCAGGACTCAAACCACAGAGTCAGCCATGTGGGATCTAGCACCTTAACCTCTACACCACCTGCTGGCCCCAAGACTAGCTTTCCATGTATGCTAGTGCATAGACACCTTTCCGAGTACTCCGCTTGTGTTTACTTGGCTCCCTCTCCTGTCTGTTTTCAGCTGGATCATTGCATCCAGCCAGCTGTCATCACCAAGGATGTGTGCATGGTCTTCTATTCCCGAGATGCCAAGATCTCGCCACCACGCTCTCTGCGCAACCTCTTTGGCAGTGGCTACTCAAAGTCGCCCGACTCGTAAGTCAACTTTTAAGGCAAATTTAGCTTCCAGTTTGTTTGCCCGCCACAACAGAATCAGCAGTCCTTAGGTATCCCCAGCTTGCTATTTCACAGATAGTTTATAGTTTTGGTCACTGGTGCCTGGAGTGCAAACGACTTGCCTGTTGGCATGTAATCGAATGTTAATGGGTGAATGAGTTAATGAAAGAACGAATACTATGTAATGAACACTCCCAAGATAGCTTCATAGGGACTTAATATTCATTTTTTAAAGAATTATTTATTTATTTAATTCCTTTTATTTTTGTTATTATTTTTTAATTTTACCAGAGACAGAGAGAGAAAGTAAAAGCGAGAAAGCAAGCCGCCAGCTCTGAGACTCAAACCATGGTCGGGCATGTGGGTCTCCAGCACCCCATCTACCTCGCCACTTGCCGCTCCCAGGACTTAATGTTCTTTTAAATGTCATTGTTGTTGGGGCCAGCAGGTTGCATGGTGGTTAAGGGTGCTGGACTCCCACATGGCTGACCATGGTTTGAGTCCCACACCTGGTGGCTTGCTTTTACCTTTCCCTCTCTCTATATCACTCTGTCCCCCTCTGGTCAAAATTTAAATAAAGAAATAAAGTTAAATAAAATAATTCTTCAAAAATGAATGAATGAATGAATGTCATTATTGTTATTTCTAATAGATTACCATTGGGATTTTTTTCTTTTTAAGATTTATTATGCATCTTCAAGGTAGACAAAACTGTATCTAGAATAATACAGCAGATAACCTGTGCATAATCACCCAGTGTCAAAATACATTTAACTAATACAATAGAAGGTTTGGTACCTCTTCCTGCTAACAGTCCTCAGAACTTGTTTATTATCTTATTCTAGCCAGACCTTTCCCCTCATCTCTTCTCTTTATGATAAGAAAAAGCAAGTTTTAGTTTTTACATTTGTATTATAAATCTTCTAGTTAGACTTTTATTCATCCTATTAAAATAGCAGTGTTTTAAGCAGATGAAAACAGGCTCCTTCTAGAAAAAGACTATAAAGTTCGGGAGAGGCCAGTAATAAGGTATGTCTGTAATTGTATTTGAGGGTAGATTGCAGTTTCTACAGAGAAGACAGTATTTTAAGGAGAATTAAGATTTCCTGGGTTTTGTCCTTTAAGAAATTAAACCATTGTTTTATTTTCTTCAAATAGCAATCGCGTCACTGGAATTTACGAACTCAGTTTATGCAAAATGGCAGACACAGGTAGTCCAGGTAAGCTCTTCTGGACTGGGGAGGTGATAGTTACCTCTGCATATGTTTCAAGTACATGACATAAAAAATTGGAGGATAGATTCAGAACCTTTTAGAAACAATGTTTATTTTACTAATCAGTTTCTAACTGGTGGTAGTGAGTGGGAGCAGGTTGCCTTTTCAGAGTTGCAACATCGTTTGGTTTATGAGTACAGCACTTGTATGAAAGTTGTATCAGGGCAGTTGTAGTGACCATGCCACTTTGACAGGTTCTCTCTCTGGCACAAGTGGACTCTCTTGAATAAATTTAAAATAATCTAAAAAAAAAGTATCAAACAAAATGTTGTTTACAAAATGCTGTGAAAAGGGGCTGGCCCCATAGTGCAGCAGTTAGGTTACATGCAGACCAGAATTTGTACCATAGCCCCATCAGCTTGAAAAGCACTGGTGTGTGTGCGCATATAGGATTCTGACAGGATGGAGAACTGAAGGAACAAGGTCTACGTGACCAGCTTCATTCTCTTTTCTCGATTTATTGTCAGTGCATGTGCCCTCTGGCAGTTAAGAAAAAAATTTTAAATGCCAAAATAGGAATGAATTAAAATGAGTTTGATTGACAAATTCCATAACCGTTTTCTTACCCATTTTAACTCAAAGATAAGTTGACAGTATCATTTTACAAATACTATCAAACTAGAATTTTAATTTTCTGTGCCCTAGAAAGATTCATTGTGTGCTCTTTTTGATGCCTTTTTAAACTAACATTCTTCTAGCAGCTCTTAGTATTTCTGTTTGTAAAAAGGCATAGGAATAAAAATCAAGATTTTTTAAAAAGCATGCATGGATTATTACACACATTAACGAATGAACTATGAATCACGCTGATTAATGTGATCTTGAGCTATTTTAGAGAACATACAGTTATGTGCCGCATAATGGCATTTAGGTCTACAGTGGACTGCGTATTTGACAGTGGAGCAGTAGGCTACACCGTGTATCCTAGGTGTGGGGTAGGCTGTACCGTCTGTGTGTGGGAAGTACGTGCTATGATGTTCGCACAGAACAGAGTCGTGCCTTTCTCTGAAGGTGTCTCCGTTATCCTGAGAAATGTGTCCTAGCATGATGCATCCAAATGATGCTTGACTACTTATGAAAAGGAAGTCAGGATCCACTGATACCATTTTTATAAATAAGAAGGCTTTGAAGAGACTGGCAGATGGCATAGTGACTAAAGTGCCGGACTCCCACATGATTGACTGTTGGTTTGAGCCCTGGATCTGGTAGCTTGAAAAATCACGCTGGGTGGGACCAGCAGTTGGCGTAATGGCTGTCGCTGGACTCCCATGTAGCCGACCGCAGTTCAAGTCACGGACCTGGTGGCGTAGACTCACGCCAGGCGTGTGTGCGTGCGTGCCCAACATCCCGAGAGGAGAATGGAGGAGAAGGGATTGTGGCATGGCCATCCCCCTGGGGGGTGATTTCTCGCTTCCTGTCTCTCTGTCTCTCTCTGTCTGTCTGGTGAGCGCACACGCCCTATAGCAAACACCTCTCCAAAAAAAAGAAAAGAAAATCACACTCGGTGTCTGTGCATGCTTGCCCAAAAATCCCAAGAGGAGAATGGAGGAGAAGGGATTGCAGCATGGCTACTTCCCCAGGGGCAGGAGGGGATTTCTCACTTCTTTCTTTCTCTCTCTCTCTAGCAAGTGCTCATGCAAAAACCTTAAAAAAAAAAAAAAGAAAAGAAAAGAAAAGGCAGCTTTGAGTATGAATTCAAGTCCCAATGGCAGCTAATTATAGAGTTCTGATAATTCCTTGAGGAATTTTTTAAATTAATGAAACATGTATTTCATATGTAAAACCCCTATCGCTTTTTTTTTTTAGATTTTTGCCCTAGGGTGCATGCACTCACTAGAGACAGACAGAGTCAGTGGGAGGGAAAGTGAGGAATCATCTCCCCAGGAAGGTTGGCCACACCACAGTCCCTTCTCCTCATTCTCCTCCTGGAATTCTGGGCATGCACACACGTGCCTGGTGAGATCCTCAAGCTACTACAGTCGGCCATGTGGGAATCCAGTGCCTTACCACCATGCCTCCTGCTGGCCCCATTTCTTTTTAAATAGTGAGAAAATGATGGAGGCTAAAGGATCCACTGTGTGTGTGTGTGTGTGTGTGTGTGTGCACATCCACTGTGTGTGTGCACGCGCGTGTGTAGTTCCTTTACCCTTCCTTCAGATGATATATTTTTATATATTTGAATCATAGTGTACATGTTATTTAAAATATCTATACTTAGCCTTTAACAGAGAAACTTAGCAGTTTCTTGGAGTACACAGCAGTTGTCATAATTATCAAAGGATATGAAACTCAGTTTTATTAGGTTGTCGTGACATGTTTCTATACAAAATGCATGACTTTTCTTTTTTTGAGAAATTTTTGTTACCAGGCACGTGTACTCACCAGAGAGAGAGAGACAGAGGAACAAAAAGTGAGAAATTTCCCCCCAAGTGGGGATGGCTATGCTACAATCCCTTCTCCTCCATTCTCCTATGGGATTTTGGGCACATATACACACGAGCCCTGCGTACATTTAAAGCTGCTAGGTCTGGGACTTGAACCGCAGTTGACTACTTGGGAGTCCAGTGCTATAAACATTTGCCATCTGCTGGTCCCACATCATGACTTTATTTTTTACTTTTTTTTTTTGTAGAGGTTTTTGCTATAGGGTGCATGTGCTCGCCAGACAGACAGAGACAGAGAGACAGAAAGCGAGAAATCACCCCCCCAGGGGGGATGGCCACGCTGCAAACCCTTCTCCTCCATTCTCTTCTCAGGATCCTGGGCATGCACACACACGCACCTGGTTTGAGTTTTAAGCCACCAGGTCCGGGACTCGAATCGCAGTCGACTATGTGAGAGTCCAGCAACATAGCCATTACATTTTTTTTTTTTTTTTTTTTTGAGAGGTTTTTGCTACAGGGCGTGTGCGCTCGCCAGACAGCTAGAGAGAGACATAGAGACAGAAAGCGAGAAATCACCCCCCAGGGGGGATGGTCACACTGCAATCCCTTCTCCGTTCTCCTCTCGGGATCTTGGGCACGCACACACACGCGCCCAGCGTGAGTTTTAAGCCACCGGGTCCGGGACGCGAACCGTGGTCGACTTACGTGGGAGTCCAGCGACATAGCCATTACACTAACTGCTAGTTCCCCACCATGACTTTTTTGACAGCCGAATATTTTGTTTCATTTATGCTGTCTGGCATGTGTGCTCACTGGAGAGAGAGAAAGTGATAGGGAAAGGGAAGGTGAGAAAGCATATCCCAGGGGATGGCCACACCACAGTGCCTTCTACTCCATTCTTTCTCTTGGGGTTTTGGACTCACATGTGCCTGGCATATATATATATTTTTTTTGGGGGGGGGCGCGGGAAGAGGTTTTTGCTATAGGGCACGTGCGCTCGCCTGACAGAGACAGACAGACAGAAAGCGAGAAATCACTCCTTGGGAGGGATGGCCACACTGCAGTGCCTTCTCCTCCATTGTCCTCTCGGGATCTTGGGCATGCACGCACACACGCCCGGCATGAGTCCAAGCCACTGGATTCGGGATGCGAACCACGATCGACTACATGGGAGTCTAGCAACATAGCCATGACTCAAACCACACTGGTGGCCATATGGGATCCAGCTGCCTTAAACACCATGCCACAGGCTGGCCTGAAACTCAGTTTAAAAAAAAAAAATTCAAGGACCATCAAGTGGTATGGTGGTTAAGGTGCTGGGCACTCCATTGTGGCCAACCATGGTTTAAGTCCTGGACCTGGTGGCTTGCTTTCTTACTTTCCCTCTGTGTGTGTGTGTGTGTGTGTGTGTGTCTTTGGCCAAAGTAAAATAAATGAATGAATAAATAAAATTAAATAATGTTTTAAAATGCAGAGTTGCTTTGCGAAAGAGACATACATTTTTATTAATAAACAAATCCCTAGTACCTTGAAGACAAAACTATCTTAGTTTGCCATGTATAAGAATTACTAATTTTGGGGCAGCAGGTGACGTGGCAGTTAGAGGCACTGGACTCCCACATGGTCAACCACAGTTTGAGTCCTGGACCTGGTGGCTTGCTTTCTCGCTTTCCTCTCTCATGCATTTTTTCCCTCTCTCACTCTTGTTCTGTCCCTCTCTGGTTAAATAAATAAATAAAAGCTAAATAAAATCATTAAAAAGTATTACTAATTTTGGGGATACTCTGTAGCATAGTGTAAGGAGTCTGATCCCACATGGCCAATTACAGTTTGAATCATGGCCTTGGCATCTAGAAAAACGTGCAGGGCGTATAATCAAATACATACATATTTGTGCCAAAAATCCTGGAAGGATGGAAAAATGGAGAAGGAATTACATTGTGACCACACTTCACTGGGGTTCTTTATCTCTCTCTGGCAATTAAAAAGAATTACTGTTTTGACCTAAGATTTAATTTAGGCCAAATTTAATTAAATTTAATTTTTCTCTGAAAAAAAATTACTTCCTCTTTTTTTAGGCATGCAGAGAAGAAGAAGGAAAGTCTTGGATACATCAGTGGCATATGTGCGGGGAGAAGAGAACTTAGCAGGCTGGCGACCACGTGGAGACAGCCTCATCCTTGAGCACCAGTGGGAATTGGAGAAACTGGAGCTCCTACACGAGGTACCCATGGCTCAAATGCAAGAACTCTTGGGCACGAACCCTGAAGTGTTCGTCCACGCCCACCTTCTCCATGTGATCAAGGTTTTGCAGTTTTCTATCAGCCACAGTGGAGGCATAATAGTTTGCTTATTAGGAGCTTTCTTTCTTTTTAAAAAGAATTATTTTATTTAACTTTTTATTTATTTGTTTATTTATTTTAATTTGACTAGAGAGGGACAGAGTGAGAGAGAGAGAGAAAGCAGGAAAGCAAACTGCCAGGTCTGGGACTTGAACTGTGGTTGGCCATGTGGAAGTCCAGCGCCCTCAACCACCACGCCACCACCTGCTTGCCTCAGGAGCTTTCATTTTTAAAGAATTATTTATTTTAATTGTATTTATTGTTGTTGTTGTTGTTATTTTAATTTGACCAAAGAGAGACAGACAGACAGTGAGAAAGCAAGACACCAGGTCCAGGACTCGAGCTGTGGTTGGCTGTGTGGGAGTCCAGTGCCCCAACCACCATGCCACCTGCCTGCCCGCTTATAAAGATCTTGATGAGTTGGGGGCCTAGCAGATGGTGTGGTGGTTAAGGGTGCTGAACTCCCACATGGCCGACTGTGATTCAAGTCCCAGACCTGGTGGCTTGTTTTCTCTCTCTCTCTCTCACTCTGTCCCTTTCTGGTCAAATTAAAAGAAATAAATAAACACATAAAGTTAAATCAATTTTAAAAATTTAGAGGAAGAAAATCTTGATGAGTTGGGACCAGCAGATGGTGCAGTGGTTATGTTGCTGGACTCACATGTAGTAGACCACGGTTCGATTCCCAGACCTGACAGCTTCAAGCTTTCACTGGGAGCATGTGCATGCGTGTCCAATATCCCAAGAGGAGAATGAAGAAGGAGGGATTGGGGCGTGGCCATCCCCCCTGAGGGGTGATTTCTCACTTTCTGTCTCTCTGTCTCTCCGGTCAGCATGCCCATCCTATAGCAAAAACCTCTCTTATAAAAAAGAGAAAGTCTTGATGAGCTTTGTGTTTCCTGAGGAAATAGTGTTGATCTTCCTAGGTGGAGAAAACCCGTCATTTCTTGCTGCTTCGTGAGAGACTTGGTGACAGCATCCCCAAATCCCTGAGTGACTCGTTATCACCCAGCCTCAGCAGTGGGACCCTCAGCACTTCCACCAGCATCTCCTCTCAGATCTCAACCACCACCTTCGAAAGTGCCATCACACCCAGCGAGAGCAGTGGCTATGACTCAGCAGACATCGAAAGCCTGGTGGACAGGGAGAAGGAGCTGGCTACCAAGGTGCGAATCCCTTCCTCGCTGCTGTTTCCCCTGAGGCTCTTGGGACTCATTCTTGCGCACTAGTCTATTTTCAGTACCTTTCTTTGAGGGGCTCTGCTTCAAGGCCTGTGCTAACACTGTGAATATGGACAAATGAGACCCAATTCCTACCCTTAACAAGGCGGCAGACTAGAGCGGGACAAGCATATAATAGAGGTGTGTATCTGGGTTCTGCAGGGGCCAGAGAGAGGTCTTCATGGAAGGGCACTTGTGAACTGAACTGACCTCATAAGGATGCACAGGAGGGAGCCCGCAATGCTCTTCTTAATCAGTCAGAGGGTGTCCATGCGGCAGTGGGACAGGAGATGGAGTGAAAGGTCTCAGGTGCCACACTGAAATACTTAGAGTGCGTCCTCAGAGTGATGTGGAACTACATAGGTATTAATGTGGTATAGAAAGATTTCTCTGGCTGCAATAAAGAAGATAGATTTGTGGTGAGAAACTGAGCAAGAGATAACTCTCTATTTTAGTAATCTAATGAGAAATGAGGAAGGCTTTTCATGGGAGATGAGGAAGGGAAACATGACTAGAGGTAGCAGGAGAAGGCAAAGGATTATTGAGAATGACTCCCAGGTGTACAGTTTCTGAGCAACTGGCTTAAAAGGAAACACAAAAATGAGTTTTTTTTTTTTTAAGAGGTTTTTGCTATAGGGTGTGTACGCTCGCCAGACAGACAGAGAGAGACAGAGACAGAAAGTGAGAAATCACCCCCCCAAGGGGGATGGCCATGCCGCAATCCCTTCTCCTCCATTCTCCTCTCGGGACCTTGGGCATGCATGCACACGTGCCCGGCGTGAGTTTAATCCGCCGGGTCCAAAACTTGAACTGAGGTTGACTACATCGGAATCCAGTGACATAGCTATTATGCTAACCACTGGTCCCCATTCATTCATTTTAATTTGACCAGAGAGAGAGAGGAAAGTGAGAAAGCAAGCCACCAGATCCAGGACTTGAACTGTGGTCAGCCATGTGGGAGCATCCAGTGCCTTAAC